AAATGCGAAACAACCTGTCTGACCGACATCAACACTCGGAATAGATGATGATGACGATGATGATGATGATGATCACTGGTCAGGTTCTGCTCTGATAATTCTTAAAGTTTCAACAAGATAGGCTAGACGTGCATCTCCATGCATCAAAGTTCTCGGCTTTCAGATTTGCGAAACAACCTGACTGACAGGAGCAACACTCGGAACGGATGATTATCGTCATTGGTAAGGTTCTGTTCTGATAATAATTCTTTGATAAAGAAAGTGCATATCCATCAAGGTGGTTCTCGCCGTCCAGATTTGCGAAACAACCTGACTGACAACTCGGAATAGATGTGATTACAATCGTCATTGCATTATTGGCGAGGGCAAGTACACCTTCGAGGTCCCAAAGATACTGCGTAAATCCTCCAGACGTGCAACAATGAGAGTTAGGGTTGGTGCAAACAAGATCGATGATGTTTGGGATTTATGTGGAGCGTACATCACGTTGAATTTCGGTATTGATAAAATATATATCTCTCCACGTGTTAGAATCTTCTTCGGAGTCGAAAGTGATCAAATGTGCGGTATTCGCTTCGGTTTCTGTCGCTGCGACTGTACTCTGACGGCCAAAGCTTCCGAATCCTACGATTTTACCAGTAATTTTCGGGTAGAGTAGAATACCTACTGCAAACCAACTTAACGGTAGTTGATGTTGCATCTCCAAATCGCCCATATTTTTTGAAATCTTCTTTTCAAAAAACGTTTGACACCAAAATTGCGTTGTCTCTCATCGCAGCCTCAACATCTTTGCACCGTTTCGAGTCATCATATCCTAACAAAAGATTAAAATGGACGGCGGAGAATTTTCGGAAGTCACTGGGGTAAGTACCAGTCTCGATTTGCTTCTCTAAGGTTGTGTTGATCATGTGAAGGAGATAAATCTTGGTTGCTTTGTGTTGTCATTGCATTGCGAATTTCTTTCCAATGATATTCAATCATCTCATTTTGGCCTTCAACTTTGTACCATCTCTAGCAACAATCCTACTGCGAGCGCATGCAAAGTGCCTGCGCTGGTGTTTGCATCGGTTTGCTCTTGTTCTTTGGAAGCTGGGGAGTTCTATTCTGGAACGAGGGACGTGCTGTCAAGAGACAACAAGATATCGACGAGGGTCGCGGCATTGTCCAACTAGTCGGTTTGACAACCATCAATGCAACTATCGACAAGACAAAAGACAACAATCTTGTCTGGGTTACTGGTGTTGTCGATGGAGGCAGCAAAAATATCTATGACGACATTTTGAAGCTCAATGTCACCAACTTGACTGGGGCACTCGCATACTCTCGCAGTGCTGAAATGTACCAATGGGTCGAGCGCAAGTCCACCAGAACCGAGAAGACCTCTGGCGGTGGAACTAGACAAGTCACCACCTACTCTTATGGTCAAGAGTGGTCTTCCGTATTGGTGTCATCTGCCAATTTCAGAGAACAACAAGCAGGACGCACAAATCCAAACAGCTTCTTGCTCACTCCCTTCAGTGACGCGTCGAATGATATTGGACTTGGAGCATACAATTTGGACTCCTCAGTCTCCAGCTACATCACCTGGTCTGAAGTATGGACTGATGCACCAGTGAATGGGTCGGCGGTCAGTTTCAATAACTACACGACCACTTTTTCTTCGGGCACTATATATGTTCGCAAGAGCGCTAATGTGGATACTGTCGGTGATAATCGAGCCACCTTGAGCATCACTTTGCCAGATACTGTCTCTGTTATTGCTAAGCAATCCACCACCGGAGAGCTCGAACCATACATTACCGAAGGCGACCGAGAGCTACTACTCTTCTCAAGAGGTGAAAAGACTTCCGACGAGCTATTCGCCCAGGCCGAAGAGGACAACACTACCCTTACATGGATTCTCCGATTTGTTGGATTCCTTGCCATGGTGATTGGTGTCTGCTTGATCCTAAATCCCATTGCTACCGCATTCGATGTTCTACCTTTCTGCGGAGACGCCATGGAAGGGTGCATTGGAGGGTGTATCATTCCATGTATTGCCTTGTGTATTTGTGTACCATTGACTCTGTTGATCGTTTCCATTGCTTGGATCTTCTATCGACCAATTTTCGCAGTTGGCACACTTGTCATGCTGGGTCTATTGGGCCTCTTTTACTTCAAGTACATGAAGCCGAAGCTTGAGAAGAAGCCATCTGGTGGACAACCACAGCAACAGCAACAACAAGGCTTTAATGAAGAAAAGCGCGAGCCTATTCCCGCACAGCCATATGGCGGAGAAGAGCAACCAAAAGAGGATGTTCCATTTGGCCAGGCGTTGGACAACAACGGCGGTGGCGGTGGATACTCTGCCCCCTAAAGAAAGATTTCATCTTTAGGGTGATGGACTTTGATTACATGTTTTTGATTATAAGTATTACGAGAGGGGTTTCAGGCAGCAGATTTCTACTGACCTCTTCTATACAAAAAAAAATACTTTAGTTTTTATTTGGTTACATACTGTACTTGATAGTTTTGTTTTACTCAAGTCTGCTCAGGACACGAATCAACTCGGGATTGCAAAAAACGGTTCTCGCACCACCGTAGAAACCTACGGCAAGAACAGACCCGCGCGAAGTGAGATTTCAAAAACCAAATTTGAAGAAGAATCATCCCATCTCACAACACGACATCACCCTTTCGTAAGGAGCCGAGAAAATTCAAACGTTGATACGATGAGCGACGGAGACTTTGACGATGGAGGCGGCGGAGGCTTTGGAGGATACACCGAGACAACAGTGAGTTGCATTGTCTTGCAACATCATCGACGCACCGTTATTATCAGCTCACAAAACCGAATGTCTTCACACAATACTTGCAGAATCAATCCTACTTTGACCGCATGCAAAATGCCTGCGCTGGTGTATGCATTGGTTTCCTCCTTTTCTTTGGAAGCTGGGGAGTCCTATTCTGGAATGAGGGAAGGGCTGTGAGGAGACAAGAGGATCTTGATGAAGGTCGAGGTATTGTGAAACAAGTTGGATTGACAAGCATTAATGCCACCATTGACAAGAGTTTGGACAACCAACTGGTCTATGTCAGTGGTCTTGTGGATGGAGGTGATGCCGTGATCTACGACGATCTTTTCAAGATTAATGTTACCAACGCAACGAATGCAGCTATTAAGTACGAGCGCAATGTGCAAGTGTACCAATGGGAAGAACGATCTTCAACCAGAACTGAGAAGACTTCTGGCGGCGGAACGAGAAAGATTACAACATATTCTTACGAGAAGGTGTGGAAATCTAATCTGGTTTCGTCTAGTTCCTTTAAGGAGGCAGTGACGCCACCAAACCCAACAAGTTACTTGGTGACAAGCGCTTTTCTTGCGTCTGATGATATTGGCCTTGGTCCATTTGGACTTGCAGGTGACATTACAAGTCAGATCAGGTAACAACATTTTTCGACTTGTTGGTCTGGTTCCTTCGAAGACACTGTATTCTAACACACAATTTTCACCCAGCTGGGAGACACCTTGGTATGATGCACCTGTCGATCTGTCGTTGCTCAATTTCACTGGTTACACTTCTAGTTTTTCTGGGGGTCAAGTGCGATTTCGAAAAGCCTCAGGATTTGATTCTATCGGTGACCACATAGTCGACTTTACTATTGTCTTGCCTGATGACATTAGTGTGGTTGCCAGGCAAGGTACTAACGGACAACTCGAGCCATACATTACCGAAGGCGACCGAGAGCTACTACTCTTCTCCAGAGGTATCAGAACCTCTGATGAACTTTTCGACCAAGCTGAAGAAGATAACAACACATTGACTTGGATTCTCCGACTTGCTGGATTCATTGCTATGGTCGTCGGTGTCTGCTTGATTCTACAACCCATTGCTACAGCATTCGATGTTCTACCTTTCTGCGGAGACGCTTTGGAAGGATGCATCGGAGGATGTATCATTCCATGTATCGCCTTGGTTATTTCTATTCCATTCACTCTATTGATCATTTCCATTGCTTGGATCTTCTATCGCCCATACTTTGCAATTGGCTCGATCGTCATGATTGGTCTACTGGGCTTGTTTTACGTCAAGTACCTGAAGCCCAAGCTTTCCAAGCCCCCACCCCAGCAGCAACAGCAGCAGCATAACCCCGAGACGAAGCCTCCCAATCAGGGCTACAATGAAAATTATGGTCAACCTGAAGCAACTGCCGAACCAATGGGATATGAGCAACACAACAAGGTTGCAGAGCCAGTCGGATACGGGCAACCAGTTGGGTACCAGCAACAGAACAAAGTCGAGGAGCAAGTTCCCTTTGGTCAGGCGCTAGATAACCCTCCACCTGCCACTAATCCTGGATTCTCTCCCCCTCCGGCTTATCCAGCCCCGACGAACACTGGCGGCGGATACGTTCCACCCTGATCAAGAAAGAATGTAGACAAAAGCAATTTTGGCCTTGTATCTATGTTGCATGTTTCGTTCAAGTATGTTTAAAGGAGAAGGCTAGGCCTATATCACAGTCGATTCATGTTTGATAATTCCGTAGAGTCGCTGCGGATTATACATACCGCAGCATTGAACACTAATATTGTACTCATCAAAACAGCTTGGATTCAGGCTTACTTTCTATATATTATATAGACCTGAATAGTCACGTGCGGTATTTGATAAAGTTCAATTTAAAATTGTTCTCGTCATTTGGTCATTTGTTGTGATCCCTCATTGTTTTTCCGATCTGCCAATGAGCGTCATTATGGCATGATGCACACTATGAGAATGAATAGATGATGCGTTATTCTAATCCGATGGATGTAGTGGTGGTGATGATCTAGGAGTCTCCGGAGACTGCACTTTGCAAGACCACGGGAAATACCATGGATGGTGTCCCTTCCGATGAGATCCAATCATCCAGCCCACCGAAACGATGGATCGGGTCGCCCTCTGCGAACACTTCTCGAAACAGAACCTTTGGATTCAACAAGGATAGCAGAGAACTCTCTTCCGCTTCATCCGTGTTATTGGGTTACGACGGTGACATCAAGACATTTAGTTACGACTGTGAATTCAAAACACAAATTTATCAAGTCAAATTTACTTGACGAATAGATGAAGGAAACTGAATAAGCTCTAGTCTAGACCATTGATTATTATTATCTTTCCCCTCTCCTTTTTCTTACTGCTATCATTGAATTAGCGACTGCGAATATCCTCATGCATGTTTTTCATATACAGGGTAACTGCAGCACGTTTCCCTCTAAAAATCGCTGGACTTGCGTTTTCACGATGTTTGACTTGTCACAAGCTGGAGAAGCATTTTCTGATTGGCAGGCTTTCCGATCTTGTTTGAAATAGGCAAGGCTGGCTCCATATTTGGTGAGATTTGGTGGGAACTTTATTAGTGTTCAATGCTGCGGTATGTATTATCCGGAGGGTAAGAACGATACCGGGACTATTATCTATTTCACATAATAAGTGTAGGTGATTACGAGTCGTAGAAAACGCGGAAAGCCACAAAAATGATTCATCAAAATGTTGACAACATGAACATATCACACAATTGAGTGCACAGTCGTCTAACGACAAAAAAAGATTGGAACATTCCACGCAAAAACTTCTAGAAAGCGTTTCTATGAGCGAAGAGGTAGTTGGAGATGTTACAGGATATAGAGAGGTGATGGTAAGTGGAGTTGCGATACACCATGAGAATAAACTGCAGTTTACATCCAGTCCTCGCGACGACTTTGGCGAAGAGACTACCTCTCACTGGTCTCTGCCGACGCTATCCTTATAACAAGGTCTTGTCAGACGACAAGATTGCTGCCGTTAGCAGTAGAAGAACATCGTGATTTGACTATATCTATCTCACCATTACAAATTATCGGTTTTGCCACAGGAGTATTCTTATTTTGACCGTATGAAAAATGCCCTCACTGCAGTTTGCATCGGCCTTCTCCTTCTCTTTGGAAGCTGGGGGGTTCTATTTTGGAATGAAGGGCGGTCGGTCAGGAGGGGAACAGATCTGGATGAAGGCAGAAGTATTGTCTATCGACTTGGCATGACAAGCATCGATGACACTATCAACACAAGGAGAGACAACGAACTCGTTTACATCAGTGGTATCGTTGATGGAGGCAACAATGCGATATATGATGAAGTTTTCGGCCTCAATGTATCGAATGCAACCAAGGCAATCAAATACGAACGCAGTGTGCAAATGTATCAATGGGAAGAAAGATCGCAGACCAAAACCGAGAAGACATCTGACGGCGGTACCAGAACAGTCACAACCTATACGTATTACAAAAAGTGGTCCTCTCGATTGATTCGTTCTTCTCGTTTCAAGGAATACGTAACACCCTCAAACCCGACAAGCTTCTTGGTGCCCAAGTACGAAGAAACTTCTAACGACATTAGTCTTGGTCCCTTCCGAGTCTCGACTGAAATTTCCGAACAGGTGGACTGGGACGTCACCTGGAAAGATGCACCAATCGATACTTCTGCCTCCAACTTTCCAGACTTTCCTGGCAAAACTGCAACCTTTTCACAAGGTGAGCTGCGCTTGCAACGAAACCGTGGTTTGAATTCGATCGGTGACAATAAAGTCAAATTTTCAGTGGTCCTGCCAGATTACATCAGTGTTGTTGCCAAACAAGGCTCTAATGGAGTGCTAGAACCATATATAACCAAAGGTGACAGAGAGCTTTTGCTTTTTGCCCGGGGGATCAAGACGTCTGATGAACTCTTCGACAAAGCTGAACAGGACAATGTCTTGCTGACATGGGGCCTTCGATTTTCTGGATTCCTCACAATGGTGATTGGTATCTCTCTCATATTGAATCCCATTGCCATAGCATTTGACGTTCTTCCATTTTGTGGAGATGCTTTGGAGGATGTCACTGGAAACTACATCATTCCATGCATCGCTTTGTTGGTTTCGATCCCAATGTCTCTGATGATAATTTCCATAGCCTGGATCTTCTATCAGCCACTATTTGCAATTGGAGCGGTGGTGATGGGTTTTTTGTTATCAGCTCTATATATTACATACTTTGAGCCGAAACTATCACCGAAGCGACGAGAACCAAGTAGTCCTGCCCAAGAAGTGGAGCCTCAAGACAAAACAGTCGGCGATGAAGCAGAGCCTGAAGCAATTGGGAGTGTTGAAGAGCCTGAACCAATAACTGCGGTGCCGCCCTCGAAAGTAATTGTTCTCAAAGTCGGATACGATCAATAAAGTTGAACAGAGAAAATCGCCCCATTCAGCTGGGTACCTGGACATTCCTCCAACAGCCAGTAACGACAATCGATAAGCTGCTCCACAATCACGACCAGAATTCCCGTGCTCTTCAGACGAAGTGAGCACATGGATTACATGCTCAAATTCAGAATTTTCATTTCAGTATACAGTGATGCTCCCATAGTCCTAAATTAGATTCCATGAAAAGATAGACACACCATGCTGTTGCAGGCATGGACGAAGAAAGACCACGAGTGAGTAGAGTGGTATCTTTCAGTCCCATCTCCAAACGTTGAGTCGGCTTGGTCTGTTTCAAGATGTTAGATCGTACGCGATATTTTGTGTGTGCATTCCGAAACACGAGCCAACCCCGCCGAAAACGTGACATCATTTTCAAAGTAGTTGGAGTGAAAATTGAAAAGCTTGGCGAAAATCCATCGGCTTTCTACGACTCACATCAATGACAACCCAAACCTTCTGGTCTTGTTCGTGGACGTCCGTTCTGATGAAATTTGCGAGTTCATTGTACTATCTTGGAGAGTTTCAGAGCAAAAAGCTTCGAGAAAGATAAACGGATATTAGAGCATTACCATCATCATCACCATTATGTCAACAAGTTGGAGTAATTATTTCTTTGGCGGATATCGTCAGAAGCGAGAAGATCACAGTGATGTGGTGGATCTCTTGGAAAGTGTTTCCCAACGAGACTGGTCGGCTGCCGATGTTGACCGGAAAGAGGTCGATGATATAGTCAAGCGATTACGGTATCGACATCCCCGTACTCCACCAAGGCAGTCTCGTCTGAGTCGACACCAGGATGTTGTTGGTCAAGATGAAGCCCTACAACTGAATGTTCTTGACAGCATGAACAATATGCTGCCCCGCGCTAGTTCCAACATTAAGATTGATTCGTCAAGCATGCCCAACCAGGGGGGAGAACTGCTGCGTGATTTTGGTGGCAGTGTGGTATCTTCCAAGTCCGACTCTTCGGATGGAAGAAGTCAAGGGACCGATGGGTCTGCCGATGATTCATTTGGGACGTCATCGTCATAACCTTTAGAGTTGGAAAATTCATATTTTGATTGTTGGAACAACCGGCAACCTATGAATTGGATTCAGAGGCTGTCTCATTGTATTTTTCAGCAGCATATGCACGCGTGTATTCATATTCTAAGCTAGTAGAAAGGGTGTTTTCATTTACAAGTCTCTAGCTAGAATACTGCAGATATGAAGTCTTATTTAAAATTTAGACAATGTATTCTAGTCAAAACAACATATTCTGTCTCGTTTGCACAACGACTGCTTATCGGAATTGCTGATTATTCATTCCACCTTGCATGCCTCCCATCTGGTTCATCATCTGGGGATTCATTCCACCTTGCATTCCTTGCATTCCTCCCATTTGATTCATCATCATTTGAGGATTCATGCCACCTTGCATGCTGTTGTTGCCATTGTTGTTGTTCATCATTCCCATATTTCCCATCTGGTTCATCATTTGCGGGTTCATTCCACCCTGCTGCATTGCGGCCATTTGTTGTTGCATTTGTTGCATCATTTGTGGGGTCATACCACCTTGCATTGCGGCCATTTGTTGCATCATCTGTGGGGTCATGCCGCCTTGCATGCCTTGACCCATCATATTCATTTGGTTTCCTGCTTGTTGCTGCTGCTTTTGTTGTTGCATGTGAGGATTTGGCTGTTGCACTGGGGCAGGTCCAAACATGGAACTGATGGCATCACTACCTCCGGCAGACACAACGACTGGCCCACTTGGCATTGGGTTGTTCATTTGCATATTGTTGTTACTATTTTGGCCCATTCCACCACCATTTCCAAAGTTGTTGAAGCCCGTGTTGTTTTGTTGAGTTTTCTTGGATGGATTCTTGGTCAGACCATCAAGAGAAATCAATTTGCTCAACGGATCAGAAGATGTGCTAGTAGCTGCGGCAGCAGGTGCTGCAGTAGGAGCGGAACCAAAGTCACCAAACTCGTCGTCATCTCCTCCTCCTCCGACTACTGCTGGAGCGGCTACTTGAGGCGCCGCTTGCATGCTGGGTTGCATCATACCACCAGTTTGCGGCTGACCGACATTCATTGCACCAAAGGCATTGTTCATGGCATTCATGTTGTTGTTGGTGGTAGTGTTCATTCCACTCATGGCGTTCATGTTGTTGCTCATCATAGCTCCCATGTTATTAGCAGTATTGTTGCCCATCATGGCTCCCATGTTATTAGCATTATTGTTGCCCATCATGGCTCCCATATTATTAGCAGTATTGTTGTTGTTGCTGCTGCTGTTTCCGAAAGCATCGAATGCGGCTGCTTGTTGCTGTGGTGGGGCTGGTGCCGGCGCGGAAAACGGGTCACTTCCTGGTGTGGATTGATTGGCCGATCTCAAAGTTCCAAATGCATCAAAGTCATCGGCTGCGGCAGGTGCTGGTGCAACAGCGGATTGGAAGTTAGCAAACTCATCATTTCCTGCAGGTGCTGCCGCCGGTGCGGCTGCTGGCGTATCGAAGGAAAACAAATCAATTTCTGCGAATGTTGGGAAGGTAACAAACAAGAAAAGTAAGGTTAGACTGTAAGGCAAGAAATACAGAGAGTCGGTGATTCGATTCAACGCAACTACACGTACCTGGTGCAGCAGCCGCTGGAGCTGCTGGTTCTGCGACTGGCTTCTTTTTCTTCTTCTTCTTTTTCTTCTCGGCAGGCATGGCTGCAAAAGTTGGGGTTGCCGTGTTGCCATATCGGCCAGTAGCACTGCCACTATCAATGCCTCCGTTTCCATAGCCACCACCACCACCACTATTTCCATAGTTTTCATAACCAGCTCCTCTTCCGCCGCCTCCAGCATTGGCAGAAGAAGCAACATTCCCACGAAACTTTTCTCTCAATTTTCTAGCTCGCTGACGCTCTTCTCGAATATTGTCATCGTTCGACAGCAATTCCGTAATCTGTTTCGTCTTTTCTCTAACTCCCAATCCTCGATCAATCGTACCCTCATAGTAGTTGAACTTTCCCAAGGCTCTCAGGACGTGTCCATGATTACGAGCATCGTCCACACATCGTTCGGCACCATTCTTGATCAAAAACTCGAGGAGTGTGAGGGCCTTAAAGACTACCTTCCAAGCAGCTGGGCGTTGATTCTCCATTCCTTCCCACATTAGACGAGAAATCATGTAAAAGCGTTCAGCATCAAAGGTATCACGGGCAACTTCGTGCATCAAAGAGGAGGAAGCACCCCAGTTTTTGTGCGACAAGACTTCGTAAACACGGGCCTCCACATCGGTTTTTGGCTTTGCCTGGTTGATGCTTAAAGTCAAGCAATCAATAATTTATCATGTTATACAAAGGCAAACAAAAGAAATTTCGTTAGTTGTCATGATCCAAAGCCATAAAACCACTCCATTCTCATTGCCAAAAAAAAACATTTTTTCACATTTCCGGTCGAATCCTCTACGCAATTTTGCGTGGATCGCTACCAGCAACCAGAATGATGACCCACTCGAGTTCATGAGAATGCAGCGTGAGCAATATGTAGACTTACGCATCTTCTGCCAGGTTTCGCACTTTGTCGATACTCAAATCCTTGATGAAGTTCATCTCTTGACTCTACTATGTGTCTAGGATCGACGATTGAGTCTAACAAGATGAAATACGAGAAAGAGGCAGGTTGGCGACAGCACACAGACTTTCCAATGATCCTTGATGAAACGACGCGATGACGAGTGAGGATCCGGGTTTCTTCTCAGTCGTATTTGTTGTCGAAGGGCTTTACAAGTACCTGGTACGAACATCGAATCGGTGCTATTCTCAAAACTATTAATAACACATTGCTGGTAATCAACAACAACATCCAAGTCAGAAAGACAACACTCTGATGATTTTTATTTGATTAGGCCCATCAGTGTCCCCTAGATCGTTTCCGACTGCCCCCATTGGTGTCATACCCACGACTGTTTCGTCGATTGCCACCACCGCCTCCATTATTGTTCTTGCGTTTCTTGTTGTTGTTGTTGTTGTTGTTGTTGTTGTTGTTGTTGTTGTTGTTGTTGCCACCGCCACTGCCAGTATCGTATCCCCGACCATTACCACTACTATTTCGTCGTCCACCACCACCACCACCACCTCGAGTTGGTGGTAAACTTTGAACTTCTCTTCTCCGGTTATTACCACCGCGGTTGTGATCCCGACCGCGATTCCGCGATCGTTCCTGTTCCAGCTGTTCGGCCATGGAATCAGCCGTGGCGCGTGCAATCTCGTTGGCAGCCAACTCGTTATCTTGCACTAAATGGTGTACCTTCGGTCTGGGGCACTCCCAACCAAAATGACCTTGAGCACCGCAATTGTTACAGGTGATACCCTGTAGTCCATGGAACCACTTGAGGCTCGTTGCTCCCTTCATAATATCCATCATATTGGGATCACGGTGGATATACTTTTCTCCAGCTCTGCATTGTGACTGGTGATGGCCCGGATACAAACAGATACTGCAGCAAATACGGCGGGGCAATCCTCGTTGATAAGTGCAGGCACGAGAGACGTGGCCCGGAGTACCGCAATTGAAACAAATTTGCTTGTATGGACATTGATACATGATATGTTCAGTACTCCCACAGAGTGGACAGGGTTTTGGCTTGGCCGGATTGGGACAATCTCCTTCAATATGGCCCACTCCACTACAACGATAGCAAATAGTGGAAATGTCCTTTTCGAGCGACCGGTTCAGAGCGGATGCCGGTCGTGGGGGGCCAGACGATGAGGAGGCCCCACTCTTGCCAGCACCACCTTGTGGCTTGACATTGGCCAGGTTCAATCGAACCGGTCTTCCATCTAAGGATTGAAGACCTTCCATGCAAGCCTCGGCATCTTCGGCAGTTTCAAAAGTAATATACCCACGTCCCGAGTTTTGCATATTTGGAGTCGGTTCTTTGTCACCATCCAGAATCAGCTTGACTTCCACCAAGGGACCGAACTGCTGACAGGCAGTAGTCAAGGCTTCGGAAGACGTTCGATAAGCGAGGTTAGAAATCTTGACCTTGGTTCGGGATTTTCTTTTTTCCTTGGCAGCCTTTTCCTTCTCCTTCTTCTCTTGTGCTGCCTGCTTTTGTTTTTGTGCTTCTTCATCAATGTCATCGTTTTCATCATCGCTCGCAATGGTGGAATCCAAATTCAAAACATTTCCAGTTTTCTCATCGTATTCCTTCTCTCGTTTTCCAAAGGCAGTGAGAAATTCATCGTTCAAGGGAATCGTTATCGGTCCTTGCACCAGCCCTCGCGGCCGATCTGGATCGAACAATCGTGCCGCCCACTTGGACAGGCGCGTCTTGGCGTGTTCCAACAAGGCAGGATCTGCTAAAGTGATATTTCCTTCCTCCTTACTTGTGGACGGGGCTGCCGATTTATCAATCGCCTCAGTCTCGGAAGCATCCAGACGAGCGCGTTTGTTTGGTCGGGAGGAGTCTGTGCCATTTTCAGAAGTGTTGGGGCTTTTGTCGTCGGAAAACTCCATTTTCTCTTCTACAGAGTTGTCCGAAGAGGTCATCTTAGTTGTGGATTCAAGAAATACACAAGGAACCGGATGGATATGTGCACAATGTATGTCGTAGACTAACAGAGTGTGATCACAATGTGTCAACTATTTCCATTTGCAAAACCTTCACAAACGGGAGAAGGACGAGCAATATTGTTATTTCCAGACGGACGAAGGAGGCACACAAAACTGCTAGTACCACAGCACTAGCTAGTACCGGTAACGTTCTGCCATAGTGATACGATAGTATATCCATCCATAATCAAATTGTTTATTATATATTTCGGCCCTTACTTTAGTATTGCGTCCGCACGGCAATTTCTCTTTCATGATTTTTCAAAATCGAAGTCAGGTTCGGAAACCAAGAGAACGGCATGGCATCACTCCGTGCACACTCCAATCAATCATCATCTAGATAACAAGCAACCAATCACAACTCGGCTTCAAATAGTCCATCCATGACAAAAAAATGGTGAAGGTCCAAGGAATGCGACTAGCGGACACAATAATCATCATTGGGAGGATGATTGGGTACTGTTATTGACAGTACTAATGATACTTTCCATCCTTTCCCAAAAATCGTGGTTGGACCCGTCCATTTCCCAATTTCATCGAACTTCGTTGAGTCCCAGATTCGCAGTTGTGATGATTCATTCCTGAAAAGTACTGTAGATGTCGAAAGTATATTCTTAGTCGCAATATGATGAGATGCTTCTTCAACGCTGTTCTGTGTTCCTTCTGAGATTGATGATGCTCAGCATGGCTTGCCGAAGCTGGCGCTCCCGCTCAAACCTAATCAACAACTCAAGAGCCGATGATGACAATCCATTCAGGCCCATGGCTGGTGCTGTGAATCCCATCGATGCCGATGATGCACCTGCGTGCAAGGAAGTCAGATCCATTTGCATAGGAATACGTCGCAAAGAAAGTGATAGTGGGTCGGATAGGCCTATCATGCCCAGCCCCACTCTCAGCGCCTCCTGATGTTCCATCGTGCCCCGGGACAGAAATCCGGCTCTTGCAACAGCGGAGGACATACTAGGCAAACCTAGCAGCCCAGGAATACTACTGTCTCGGCCAATGACAGCCGAATTGTTTAACAGCATTTGGCCAGCATGAGCTCGTGCATGTGGGTACACTGCTGCTGAGAAACCACTGGCAACATTGGATCGGTCACCCAAGTCTACTGCTTCATTTCGTATTCTGATCCTGGGACACCGCATTGCATGGCCCACCTTCTTGATAGCTTCATCAGCGTCCGCTTCGACCCATCCATCTAGTCCCTCCTCCTGCTTCAAAAACTTCATCCCCGCTTCGATCAGTTCTTTGTAGATTTGATAAACAAGTTTTCTCTTCCCTCCGCGTCCGGCACCTTGATACCGATCTCTGTAACCTTCTATGACAAGTCGCATTCTCTTGTTTCCAGGATGATTATTGCAACCTTTCCCTCTGCCAAAGAGAATGCAATCATCGTTGGCAGTCGACCAAACAGCTGCAGTTGCGACAGTACACGATTTGGTTTCTTCCTTTGGCTCCTTCTCATCATCCGACAACGCCTCGCTTGCTGGTTGCTTGGCGGTATCATCCATCTGTCGATTCAGCTGATGTACCTGCTGAAATTGTACCGATTGAATAGCTGCTGGGCCTTCCTAGCCTTTGAAATATAAAGCAAAAGACAACAAAAAAAGGACCGCCCCTCAATATGATTATCGTTCACTGCAGGGACTCACAGTCATCGTCAGCAGCAGAGCGCTTAGTGTATATGTGATTTCCCCAATTTTCGTACGAATAATAATAAACGCACGGAATAAAGCGGCAATTCTGTGCTGCGATATCCCGTCGAGCACAGATTACGCCTCCCGCGGTAGATATTCGATGTTTTTCCTCAAGCGAACTTGGCGTCTCTGGCATCTCCATGTATGATGATGTCAGTGCAACGATACTATGCGCTTCTATGCCCAATGGCAAACTGTGGTTGTCAACACTGGTAGGACAACTCAGAGATGTTAGAGATCATCAGCGTTGCTTTATTTCTTTCCCAGCCGCAGAATAACCTGAACCGGTTGGCGATAGCCCACAATGAGAGATTCAATCACCAGAGATGAGAGGCTGCACTTTTCGATACAATAAGCTTCTATGTTCAATGGTGAAGTGTGTTTGGCAACACCGGTAAGGCGGGGGGCAACAACTCACAACTGTTAGGAACCAGTGTTATCTTTTGTCAAAACCTACGCCACCTGCCGAGGTCATCCCCATGAGGAAGTCTTTCATCAGAGATCAGAAGCTGCACGACTCAGTTGCTCAAGTACAACGAAAGGCAAACTGAAAGCTGCAAGGCAATGCTTTGAGTTGAACGGAAAAGCGTAGCGAAAGATACCTTGGTTGGTGCTAAAGGGCCGCCAGCGAGTGAATGAATCAATGCTTCACCACTTCCGTGGCCATTGTCATTTGAGATACTGTCATCAGCGACGACGCAATATTATCATTGATCGTGGGCCTGTCATACACGCCATATCAACTGACCCATCCATTGAGAAAAAGCTGCCATTCCCAGACCTTGGCCATATCGCATGCTCCGTTGCATGAATGTGTCAAACGTATACTCCAAGAAGATTGGCGAGCGCCAATGCAGCATTTATTGTCCTTTCTTTTCAGCCAGCTGAGCGCAATAGGAGTCAAATGTCGGTATGATGATGATGATATGGCCGTGAACGAACAATCATTGAATCGTGACGCCAGGAGGAGTGAGTCGTAAGCGAATATCGACTACATGGCCTCTCGATCCTTCTGACGAGACATGACACGCCTCGTCTCTCTTGAATTGTCCGTGGCCCAAGATCCCAATCCCTCCCTAGGTGAAACTTTTCAAGGCCTAGAAACACATAAAGAGCAATACGCTTCGTCGTTCGTTCGAGTTTTAGGCCTCTGAGGAGGTCCAGGTCAGCAACTCCTTGAACCATTCATGGCAGCATCACGTGACACTTCCCTTCGATATTCTGTTACTTTCCCATTGCCCCCTGATGAAGTGAAACGCATAATACCTATATATCAACTGAATGATGAGAAAAGAGCGTCTGCTTTCAATGTTCTTCTTGCCTTGCACACTTCAGATCTCAACATGCTGTTGGGCTCGAGTTTCGATGCGAATTGTACTGCATCATCTCCTCGATGTCCATCTCAAGTACTCGCAGCTGTACTAACTGGTACTGGTAATCGACCAATAGATTGGCTCTCCACGGACTTTTGTGTTTCTTTCAGGTGGTTCAGCTTGTCTCACTGTGAAGAAACCGAATGGACGACCGCGCGCTTTCATTCATCCTTCTTCTACCTGCCGTCACCTGGAACTTGGTGCAATTTTGTGTACATCTTACGATTGAATTCCTTGCTCTAGCTAAATATTTAGCGCCATTCTTCACCGAATCTGCGATCAGCTGTCAGAAAGCGTCCCATCTGTTTCGCCAGGTGACTGATGACGAGCGAGTATACATGTTGCTTCTCCGGGTTACTTCCTCAGTTAATGTATTTTGAATTTTATTCAAGGGCTATACTCTAGTCCATTCTTTTTTCGGGGCTTTCTATCTACCGGTACCTGGTACCAGTATCTGGAACGCATCTGTGCTTCAATTTGTGTCAGGATATTGATATACGGTAGAACTGCTCAGCCGCGCGTGGGAGGCGCTTTTGCTTGTATGGTACACAGTTGACGATTAACAGTCGCATAGCCAGAGGTCTCGAGTTCGAGTCTTGACTACCCCTGAGTGTTCTTCTGCCCATACAATACTCAATATCTCCAAAGGTCAGGAATGTCATGTAGGTCTGTGGAAAATCACAGCAGTGGCAATGTACCCACGTATAGCCCCGAGTGCTACAGTATCACCTATAGGTATCAATGTCTAGTACGGACACCAACACTGATGGTGGTAGGTCTGTACGGTGGGAGGTCAGGATATTGATATACGGTAGAACTGCTCGGCGGCGCGTGGGAGGCGCTTTTGCTTGTATGGTACACAGTTGACAATTTGACCACGCCCTTGAAGCAGCGTCAATCCCGCGTCATTGTGCTATGGGGCTACAGTTCTGGATCCATTTCTCAGTAGTACTCAGCTTCATAGTCCAGTATATCCCAAAATTTCACAGTTCCAAGCTCTAAACCAATTTGGATACTAGGACAGCACCTACTGCAAGCGTATGCTTATCATAGTTCTGGATCCAAATTCCTTGCAATGATTGGATCTTTTTCATCTTGCAAAATACACATTCTTGTCTTGCACGAACCACACCCTTTTGCTGCTTTGTCCAACAGTTCTCTAATGCTGAATCATAGGATTTGCGTGGAAAAGTGATGGATCATAGCTTTTCTCACTGCATGCTTTTTACTTGAATTGATATAGATCATCTTGTAGAAACTAGTCAACTATAGGCTTTTGTCTATATTCATTTATTTCTGTCAGATTAACAGTCACAGTTACGCCTACAGCTAACTGCCACGATTTCCCATCAGAGATCGCTCAAATTCGTCTCCCATCAGAAGACGAAAACACAACAACTTGCGGATCGGATTTCACAGCGTTTTCGCAAGTTATTGGGCACCCATCAAGCTCATATTCTTGCAGTTGCGCACACAGCTGACTGCAGCGATTTTCCTTGAGAATTTAGCTTGATCTCGTCTTCCAACAAAGATGAAGACAATCAACATTTCCGAATTTGTCTTCCCATCAAAGACAAACAACACAACAATTTGTGGATCGATTTTCAGCGTCTCACAACTTCTCTTGGGCTACCATCAAGCCCATCTTCTACCACCGTTCGAATTGAATAATACTTTGGGGTTTATATACCCATACCTTTTAATTCAAGCGAACGACTTGTCAAGAATTGGCAACGAGTTATTTTCAAGTTTTGGTCCAACAATGACTTGGAGTTTTTCGGTTTATTGTGGAGTGTTGGCATTGTGCGGCCCTATCGCCCTTGCCATTCGATTTGCTGCCCCTGTTCGCCTCCTTTTTGTCGTCAGGAGTTTTCTACGGAGCAAGGGATCCGATTTCTCTTTTTGATTGAATAGCTTCTGTGGTGGAAGTCTCAACAGGAGAGATCGCCTTCTTGGTGCGAATCGAGAAGTAAACACAATCTGGAAAGGGCAATTGTGTGCCCAATCCCGCAGTTCTTCATCAACACCTCAGGAAACGAGCCTTCTGCTGTTGCACAGTGGGTTCAGGCGTGTTGTTATATTTTACTTCGGCGTCGCACCGGTTCCAGTCCAACGTTAGGACCGTCCTAAGCTCAGGACATACACATATTAGAGTTCGCGGGGTCATCCTAGCTGTAGTAGGCTTGTTTGTTTCTTGCATTCACCAGGGGTTCTAAATCGCTAGTACTCCGGGCAAGTCAAGCCGCTGGTCCTCCGTGCTATGTCCCTTCCTACCTATCAGCTTGGCCAGTGGTAAAGGATTGTTCCTGTGCTCAGCTTCTCGCAGGATTGGAGGAATAACTAGCCACAGCAACGGCTACCTCTGAAATAATAATAGCTTGTTATTAACCCTTATGTATATCCAGGAATGTCTGGGGGTCCGTACATTTCCACGGCGCCTACGGCGCCGCTTGTGCGCATTCTGTGCGCATTCTGTCTACATCTATCCGTCATGTTGAGCCATCAATAACGGCACATCCTGGTAGGGACCAGTACTTACGCATGTAAAGAGCAGATAGACAAGGAGGGGCATTCCAAATAAATAAAAAGGGGATTGCAAAAATGCACTCGTCCTTTTGAAACAAAGACTTTCACGATAACCAACGACAATGGCACAAGAGTGCAGATTCGGCTACCATATCGATAATGAAATTGGCTGAAAACGTAGATCTTAATAGATAAAAATATGTGCTAATAGGGCATGTAACCATTTTTGCCGTTCAATTGGATCTCCTTCCGCGATTTGCATTATTGGGATGAAACCCTTGACTTGAAGACGGTGCTTTCCCGTTACAGACGACTCCCCTGAGTCAGATAGTGACGAGTCTAAACCGTCATACATCAACCGTGAGAGTATGGAGAACCAGTCATGGGCAGATGTTGTTCGAAAGATGAACGATTGAATTACAGTAGTTAAAACTGTGTAGAGAGTTTTGGGATGACCGAAAGCATGAGTTTGCTTTGGCCATTCGAAAACTCTTATCCCAACTAGAGCAAGTTTTATTAACGACTTTAAGGTTCATAGTATCAGGACTACGTTACGCCGAACAACTGAAGACTGATCGTCTCAGAGTATCGTAGGGTCTTTTATTATCTAACACTTTCCATAGTCGTTGATGTTTCCACAATCGTTGATATAGGCCTCGTCCCACTCACGACAGACATTGCCCAGAACATTCCTTCCATCGATCTCCTTCTGCACCGTGCTGTATACGCTGCTCTGGCTTGAAAACATTACGTCGAGTTCTTGCTCCTCCACTTTGATCCAAACTTCTTCTCACCCATTCTTCAGCTGTCCCTCCAGGGATTGGAAAACGATCACAATCCTAATGACCAAATCAGTCATAATCGATACATCGTACATTCCCTTGTGTGCTTGTGACTAGATGGTTGATTGCCGATTCGTCCTGGCCGTTGATAGACTTGGAAGGCAAAGGATGCTGGTTGTCTTGTGCAATTTGTATGAAATCACGAAACCCCAGACAAAAATGTTTCACCGCGAGATCAAGAAATAGTTTCACCGTGAAAAAGTCTAGGGCCTATAAATAAAAGAGATCTTTGTGCGACGTGTACAAACAATTCGCGTCATATATATATTTACCTAATTGTTGGAAATGCCAATAATCTTGAGCATGTTGCACTCCAATTTTTCTTCACCTTATCCTCGACGATGACCTTGTCTTTGTCGTGTGCTTTGAAAAAGGTGAAGTGAGTATCCATTTTTCCTTCACACTTATGTTTGGCTATTACGTTCTTCCAAGCGTTGACGAGATTCATCAAGTTCTCACCGTTTCTTTGCCAAATTTGAGACCAAGACAGGCTTGTCGCTTGTTGATCGGGCACGATCTTGTTTTCTGAAAATGTTGATTATTGCTTCGTAAGTATTCATCGCATGAGACGCATGAGATCAGATACTGCCTATGGCTATCTCAAGAATAGATGCTTTGTCCAAGACGTTAGAGGGGCCAACATGTCTTTCTGTTATGCCGTTCTGATATTCCTCATGGTTGAAGCGTCACTTTCGCAAACCATTTCCTTTGGACGGAAAACCACATGGCACATGAAGTCTGTCATAGACTTCATCATTTGGAGCTAAATAAATTTCACGAGAGCAACGAATATACCTATGAACAGTATTACAACACTATTGCTCAACACTCTTCGATTTTTTATCGTAGGACTAGCCTATGCTTTTTTGTGTTCTCCTTTTTGTATCTACCTTAGAACACTGACGGCCTGATTTTGCCAAGCGATAACCTCATTAGACTCATGATTGTTACGATCAAGAGCTAGTTTTCCTTTGTGAGGCGGAGGTCTGCTGCAACGACTACAATTTTTACATGCATAGATACGACATTGAACATGTTGGAAAACAATAAGACGCGAAATTTGAAAAATGCTTGTGGGGTTTTCCCCAAATTTGAATCTGGAGATAGCAACCATCCGTTTTAGCCATTAAGTAAATGACGTGTTGAGCAATCAATAATGGCCATTATTGATTGACTCAACCTATCTTGAATCAATCAATAATGCGCATTATCGCACGCTCAATTATTGTCCTCAGCTATCGTGGACAGTCACGATCTATCCCGCCTAAAAATAATAGCTTTTATTAATAGTAATTAATTTCATTGATAAAAAAGACTCCAATCAGTCAACTGATCTGAGCTCTTTAGTGAAATTTTAGCCAATGAGAGTTAGTCGATTCACTAGTGGTATGAGCCAATCACAGCTCTCTATCACTAATGATGGATTCGACTAACTCTGTTCCACACTAAATTAGTACTCTCCACAGACTTCAAATGATGTTAGGGGGGATGTTAGGTCCAAGCTCCATACGGCCCTAACAGTTTCCCTTTGTCTTATCAAACGACTAAAGACCTTGTCTTAAGGACCAACCATATCCCTCGATGATGAGGAAGCGCTGTAGATCCCCTAGGATGACTTTGAGCTGCCCTGAAGAAAGGGATAGTAGGTTGGCAACTGAAATTGACTGGTACTACATGAGGTAGTAGATAGATCCAACGATAGGAACTGATTTTTCAATCTTACAGATAGAGCAGTACTATGTATTGTCGAGTATCGTTCAGACTTCTCTGATGGCAGAGTGAAATCAACTGCTGATACCGGTATAGGTAGGTACTACTACTAGTACTAGTACTTGGTAGTAGTCTCTTCACCTTTGGAATCAAGTCATTGTCTCAAACTGGTGCAAAAAGGTTGATTATATTGCCATCAGAGTAGAATATACAATACCCGAATCTGAAAGCATCATCTATGACTATACTGTATTCGACTTTCCTATCGCGGCTTTGGCAAGCAAGGAACCATGCACTGTTTCGTCTATCTATGTTTTTGCCTGTGAATCTTACTCAAAATTGGTTGATTATTGCATGCCTTCAATTGTGGGACACGTATTCACTCCCTTTGCGATGAAATCGGGCTTTTTGGTGGCCCTTACTCATCTTGCTTGGTTCCCAAAATGTTGAGTCCATTATTGAGGACCCGCCGATTATCTATGCTCAGCCATGATTCTTGGACATCGCTTTGCGTGGCCTATCTTCTTGATAGCTTCATCAGTGTCAGCTTCAACCCATCCATCTAGTCCCTCTTCCTGCTCCAAGAACTTCGTCCCCGCTTCGACCAATTCTTTGTATATTTGATGGACAAGCCATGTCGATTCACCCATACTTTGTAGAAAATTGTCATTATCAGAAAATGTACGGTTGCGCCATCAGTATCTCTGCTGCCACGTCATCCCCTTATGCTATTGTACACTCCATGAAGGATTGGGGAGCTCCAGTGCAGCGCCTCGGTGCTATTTAGTTTCAAGCAACTGTGCGCTTTTATGAGTCAAATGTCGGTATGACTCTGATATGGCTTTGAACGAATCAATCGTGGCATCAGCAGGAGTCATACGCGAATTCGCTGTGGACCATACTGTATGGCCTTCGATCCTTCTGACGAGACATGATTCGTCTCGTCTCTCTTGAGTTGTCAGTGGCCCAAGATCCCAATCCCTCCCTAGGTGAAACTTTTCAAGAGCTACAAACACATAAAGAGCAATACGCTTCGTCGTTCGTTCTAGTTTTAGGCCTCTGCGGACGTCTAGGTCAGCAACTCCTTGAACCACTTATGCCAGCATGCGATACTTCCCTTCGATATTCTGTTACTTTCCCATTGTCCCCGGATAATGTGAAACGCATGACACCTATATATCGATTGAATGATGAGAAAAGAGCGTCTGCTTTCAATGTTCTTCTAGCCTTGCATACTTCGGATTCAACATGGTGCCTCTTTTCCGCTGTACTGCAGGGCTCGAGGAGTTTCGATGCGAAATTCACTGCGCCATTGCCAGGTACACCTCGACTACCGGCAGCGGTACCAGCAACCAGCAGTACCTGGTACTCTGGATTGGCTCGATTTTTTGAGATTATTCGTTACTTATTGATTCTGATCAGCAATCCAATAAAATATCATTCATTCTATTAACGGAACTTTACTTTGTGATTTATGGCCCATAACTTCTTGGTGGAATTCGATGCTAAATATTTGGTAAGTTCGTCAGCGAACTTTGCGTTCAGCTTCAAAAAGTGGAAGGTTGACACCCTCTAGCACTAGCACTCCTTGCTGTTTGGCAGTGACTTCGGCGATCACGATTTCAAAATTGGGGATATCATGCACTGGAGACATTCCCCAAATAATGACTGGCACCATTCAATCATTGTCATTGCTCCACCGGCATCTCCTTTCTACCTATGAAGCAACGGTTTTGTTGGGTGCAATAAAACTATTCTATGGCGTTTTAGCTTTCAATCATTAGCTCTCCATTAGTACTCCAAAGTGGAAACCAAGTCATGCCACCCAATCTAGAGTAGTGCAATATTCAAAATCGCCGTCTTTGGAAGTGGTCTCTGGATCTTCACTAATTTCATTTCAATGTTATCCGTCCGTCATCCCCGGCTACGAGGTTGCTTATTCCCAAAGACGACGTGAAGATTTGGGACTGACTCACAAAGCCCCAATACCTGTGCTGAGACATGAAAGGATTACGGCGGGGCCCCTGGGAAGTGTCTTGGCCATATGGATGTGTCATTCAGCATCATTTGGCGAAGACTGCGTTGTCGTTCAACCAATAGAAGAAGTTGGCTTGTGGATAATCCACTCAGGTCCACATATGGTGCTGCGGCCACTCCCATCGACAACTGCGACACTGACAGTAAGCGGTTCATCTCCATTTCCATCAGGCGACTGTTTTCCAACGAGAGCGATGGGTAGGATGTTCCAGCCGCCGCAAATCTCGATGCTCCTAGCCCTCCTAGCACACTATCTAGCATCAAGCTTGGTCCCACCGGCAGCGGCGGAGTGTTCGTCAAACTTGTCTGTGCAAGTACATTCGCTTCTATCAAAGCAGTCGCCGAGACTTGCACCGGCTCACAATGGGGCGCAACTTGGGCCTCTTGAACCGATTGTGAATTGTTGGAAACGCTAGGCTGCCTTGGACGAACTGATTTTTGTTGTTGCTTATCTTGTTTAGCGCTTCGGAGAGCGTGACCCACCTTAAGGATGGCCGCATTCGTGTCGACTTCGACCCATGTAGTCCCGCCCTCTACCTGCTTCAAGAACCTCATGCCTCTTTCAACAAGCTCGTCATGTAGTTTTCGAACCACTCTGCATTTTTCTCCGCGCTCCGCAGCGACATACTGATCTTTGTAACTGTCGATGATTACCCGCATTCTCTTGTTGGCAGGACGATTGTTAGCTCCTTTTCCTCTGCCGAAAACGATACAGTTGTCATCAGGTACTATGACCGCTGCTGCATTAGGATGGTAATTCGATGTGTCTGATGTATCATTCTGCTGCCGGACTTCACTGTTGCCTGAAGGGTCATCATCTATAGAATCAGGTTTTGATGAAGAAGGCTTGTTTGCTGATGTCTGCTTCTCTGACTTGAATGACGGTTTCATGACCTTGAAATTCGAAGATATCCCTGCAAAGTAACCTCTTTGCCTGCTGTTATATTGCTGCAGGCCACCACAGAAATAATGCGGGAAGGCATGCTGCATGTTCTTCCGAAGCTTACTTTTGATTTTCTATATTTGGTGATGCGGCGGTCTGACAGCTGCGGATTTTCGTATTTTTCAGGCATCTTATTGTTCGTGCCGTTTCCTTGGGACGATAAGGCCACCTCGGAGCTATATTGTCGGATACGCACTGGCCATTATAGAGTAAGCAACGAGTTGATAGCAGTTCGGTTCATTCTCAGCCTCGGTTCAGTCTCACGATGAACAGGTACCTTTCGTTTCTACGGAGAGCTGCCTACCAGCCAAGCAGAATCTCAGACCACTGTCATCCGATCCGAGTTTTTTTTCATAGAATTCACTGATTAGGAAGATACGTTCAGTGCCTTTCTTGCACAATACTTCATACGGTGTAGATCGAAGGTCTCGTCCTCAGTTGCATCCTCTTCGAAGTTATTGTAAAAAAATCACGTTTTGATATCATGATCTCTGAATGCGAAAAGGGCAATAAAATCCCTCGATCGAAACAAGTGGATGTATGAATGGGGTTGGGCGTTCGCTTTGTCCAACACAAAACGAAAGAGAGTCCTTGTTGCAAATGATTTCAGGAAAGCCACACTGAAAAGTCTTCTGAAGTGGACCATAACCCCTTTCGATTGACATCATGGCAGCAGCGCAACATAACCTTTGAAGAACTAGAAAGTATCTAGTTAGTTCTCAAGAGCTTGCAACTGCATAGGTGCTTCGCATCGTTACACGCCTGGATTCTTTTCACAGTCTGACACTGACTGCTCCAAGCTTAAATCCATTGTTGCACACCTATAACCACTCTTGTCGGAGTGGTGCATTTGATTTCCTTCACTGCATGCTTTTTGAATGACAATAGGTGTGGCAAAGGACCAGATTAGTGTGATTGCATGTGCAATGTCACTGGGGCATTCTGATCGAGGAGCTTGGGGGACTTTCTCCCACTTCCTGTAATGGTGAAGAGGAAAGGTGCTCCAAAGCAAAAGTGGCTCGAGAAAGCTAATCATCGAGTGACTGTAGGCTAGCATCCTTCTTCAAGTCTCAACATTTTTTTTGAATTTGAAGTCCACCAATGGAGTTGAACTTCAGTAGGGGTGTGCCCCGTTGTGGCTTGCTGTGCCGACTATGCATTCCTCGAGCGAGACTTTCTTAGAATTCCATTATGGGCATAATCTGCTTCGAGATACTACATGACCGCTTGAAACTGTTTTTTGAACTCTTCCCATTGAATAGTGATTTTCATCTTGTTTTTGATTGGGACAGTTCCAATCTCTCTTTCTTCATCATTGTTGTGGGCCGCAATGGTAGTTTTTGTAAAGAGGTCCCATAAAAAGGAGGAGCGCGTTCCTACTTTCAACTTGGGTGCATTCCTGGTCCCGAACCAAACCTCGTGTTTTCGACAGCATTGCGAATATTTGAGGTTCGCCAAAGGCGGCCCAGCCACGTACAAAATATCTACCTACCACGTGTCAGCTGTTCAGCTCACGCATGGTGTCTGTACACATGTACGTTGCTGGAGTCGCAACTCGCGAAATATTGGAGCACGAGCGAAGAATGCAATAGAACATAGAACACTTACTGCATCTGGGAGGTATTACGGGTATCGGTACTTCCCCATGTAATAGATCCAAATCCAGCACTTCCTTCCGACCGGGTAAAATGTTCTTACAGCAATTGAATTCAAGATACAGACTACAGGTATCAGATGCTAGTCTGCTTAAGGCTTTTCTTGTTAACGGTATTATTAACGACCTTATTGGTGATATCCACGTGGGTCGAAGGGACCTGAGCCTCCCTCTCCTGATTGCCCCGAATATGCTCCAGTCTTTCTGGATACGTAAAGCATCAACAGTTGGCGAAGCTGTTCGTCATGCTCGGCCATTGCATAGAGCTCGTTTGGATTCAGGGACGAGAGAGCGTTGGTTAGTGTCGTTGGACCGTTAGGCCCCAACAACCACGATCGTAGTCCTTCTAGCTCCATTTCCTTCCGATAGTGTTCCAATATATTTAATGTGTCATTCCCCCCGATTCCGGCTGTATCTTGAGGCAGCAGACTATCACCCATTGATGCACCTCTTCCACCCGGTGTTGGCAAACCTGTCAGGGCCTGAATTGCAGCCTGAAGTCCAGGTATTTGTTCTTGAACGTTTCCACTTTGCGCGGCAGTCAAGTAATGTTGCAAAGCTTCACCAGCGCCTTCTTGTGCAAAGCCGGTGCTTGTTGGCAAGCTGGTTGACATTTGCGACGACCAACCTGGAAGCCCTTGGAGTCCAGCCCACTGCTGTTGCACAGTTCCAGTTGGAGCAGCTATAGAAGAATTTTGCAAGGATTCCCCAGCATTGGCTCCGGTATTGGTTCCAGGGAAATCCCCATCGCCCACAGGAACATGCCCACTCTTTGCAGCTTTCGAAGTGCTCCCGCCCCTTGAACTCCTGAGTGCATGGCCCACCTTTAGTATCGCAGCTTCAGCATCTACTTCCACCCATCCATCTTGGCCCTCTGCAGGCTTCAAGAACTTCATGCCTGCCTCCACCAGCTCGTCGTAAACTTTCCTCACCAGCTTATACTTCTCGCCGCGAGCCGACAATTGATATTGGTCTCTATACCTTTCGATGTTGCGCCGCATCTCTTTGTTCCCTGGATGATTATTACAAGACTTCCCTCTTCCAAAAAGGATATAGTTGTCAGCAGGCAATAAGATTGCCACTGCGTTTGAACGCGAACCAGCTTCACCCGATGGCTCTGATGGATTAGCTGACGACGCATCAATACTTTCCGCGTTACCAGCTTGCTCTCTCCTGGAAGCTGAAGGATTCAAAGCTTTCCGCTTCAATTCTGAAGCATCACCAGATTCCATGCTTGTAAAAGTATATGGAAGACTCTGGTTGCCAATTCCTGCAGCCGCTGGTTTCAGTTGGTCATGTGACGTTTGCTGTGCGATGCTTTTTTTGTTGTTGCGCGGTCTGGCACGTCGTGCGTGACATTAGTTTCACGTATTATGTGGAAACACCTTCAAGAAACCAATCGGTACATACATAACACGCAACAAGGCACTGCTTGCGAGGTTTCCGGCAACCAACGGTATTCACATTTGCACCGCTAGACTACAATAGCTTGTATCCAGATCTGGCATCTGAACTGCTTCTTCTTTTCTTGTATTATGGATTCCGAACCAGAAGTACTAATATCATAGTACCAGCAAGAAGAGGGCGGAGTAGGAATCGAAGGGCCCAACCAAGGAAGTATGCCGTATGCACTCAGAACCGGCCTCCATCATTAAAAAATTGTAGATGGTCCAAAAGTCAGAAAAACTTCCAACCACAAGACCGGACTCATTCCAATAATAGCCTTCTCCCAGCAACTTCTTGGGTCTCATCACACTTCATATCGTGATAATTGGGTTGGTCTCTTCTTCACTTGCATTCGAGTGAACGAAGGTGCCAACAATTGAATGCAGGTCTCATCGATGAAGCACTTGTGTTCAAAAGAGCGGTATGCGCTTGGTTCATCATCACTTCCGGCTCTATTCAGCAGAGTGGGACCCTCCTCGTCATTTGTCCGTATTGTATAAAACAACGCAAAATCGTCATGCCAAACCGTCGAGGAGGTGTCAACAATTCAATGTAGGTATCATCGATAAAGCAATTGTGTTTAGGAGTGATCTGTGCTTGGTTCACCTATAGCTCTATATTCAGCAGAGCAATACCATCTCGTCCATCCAGTCTGCATTTTATAAAACAACGCAAACTCATCATGTTACACCGTCCAGGAGGTCCTGCAAAAGAGGAAACGATACCACTCAATGAAACCCTGAATGATGTCGGCAGTCAGATCACTGTTGTAAGAGATCATCGACGATCAATTGCAGACAATATTCCTCACTAGCATACTGAGAATTGTGTGTACTCCTTGCGCCTCAGCATGCTGCGAAAATTATGCACTCAAGAACTGGGCATGTTGGGAGTTTTCCACTCGCAATCCTCTAGCATGGTGAGGCTCGCATCTTGAACAGGCGCTCTCCTTTATTGTCCGCAGCTATTTTGGTGCTGCGCTAGTCGCATAGCTTCAGCTCTCTTCATGATGAGAACTGACAGCCAGGTAATCAGTGGGCTCGCTTACTTTTTTGGTTTTTCGACGTGCAAACGCAGTGTCCAATGAAGATGGGAACATTGCACTATAATCACCCGCAGAGCAAGCTTTATGCTTTTCAACCTCAAGATGATCGATCTGGCCTTTGCTTGACTACTTAGAGGACGCATCTTGTGAAAGAGCGTCGTGGCATTGTCAATCCAAAGAGACAAACATCAGAGCCTTTTGAGCAATGGGTAAAGGCGCCATACTGGTACGAGACAGAAGTGCCTTCAAATCAGGTATTTAAAGCCGTGTGCGTGCACTGCAATTCCAGCGAACCAATAAATAAAAAATCACCTTTTAGCGGCGCAAGTGGACAGCATTCCAGCGAACCCATCACCTTTTAGCAAGGAACTCACCCATGAAACAGTTTCGCTCGCACGAGAAGCGGGGGATTTCCTAAAAGGGTGGGGATAAATGAAATATTTTAAAATACGAAATATCAACAGCTGTCCTACCGGTATCCTTATTGTAGGGTAGGACACAAAAATTGCTGCTGGTATCAAGGATGATACTAATAGACCCTACTGAGGTGATTATTATGGTATTGACTTCGGGTAGGCATTGCGAATGGACCAACATCATTCATCTTTGTTGGTGGTAGTAGTGGTAGTATGCCGTGGAGCATGCTTCAATCCTTGGGAGCTATACCGGTATCATTTTTTTCATGCCGTACAGTGCCGGATGTCTTGAATTCAAGGCAGAGGCTTCGTAGAGCCCGTGAAGGCCATAATGCGGCCATAATTTGCTCGCTCGCCTCATCGCCAAGCAAGATGAACGTGGATATGCTGATTCCAAAACGGAGGACACTTTGCTGCTTCGCGTCATTTGTCCTCGAGTCATCCACGCAGTTACAGTCCATGCTGCAGCAACCATCACATCCAGACAACACATTATAGGATACTTACACTCTGTTTCACCTACGTCCCCGATTCTCGAAATGAAAGTGAGATCTACAGTAGCTCCACAAAAAGTTGACTCTTGTGAATTCCATAGCGACTCAAAGCTTCCAGAGATTCAAAAACAATTGTGCTTCTCCAACTGATGCGGTCTTGCACGGTATAGTTTTTGCATGCTTCTCCTTATCATATGGCATTCCTGCTTTTCTTTGCCGCCTCGCCTTTCGCTTGGCTTTGCCGCCCCCAGCTGGAAGCGTCACAGTAGAGTTCCCATGCTGTATTTTGTTGGAAGATTTCCCGACTGGTAACTTGTCAGATGTACAGTTTACCGCATTATTCTGATCTTCATTTCCATCGCTGTGTTGAGAATTGCCGTCACAATTGCCGTCAGTGTTATCATCATTCAGCAAACTTGCAATTGCTGCTAGTTTGGAATTTGAGGCGAAATCAGAAGGGAGGCCTTCTGAGAACAGAGGGCACCAAGATTCCTCTTTGCCTTGGTTTCGACATTTGTTGGTGGCCTGCACTTTGTTTGATCTCTCTTCCTTCTCCTCGACCATTCTCGTTACTCCCATCTTTCCCCACCACACGCTGATTTTTGCTTCTGTCATTTGAAGCGCATGTTTAGTTCGTGACTGGACTAAAATCGCCGAAGTCAACACGCACGTAGATACCTACGTCTCTGCCATAGTATGTGGTCATGATTATTTAGCGATATATACGCAAGGAAGTGCTGCCACAGCGAAAAACAGATCCATCATCACCAACTTTACTTCTGTGGGGTATCACTTGCATCCCCAAGGCAAAGCTTTCTTTATATCCCGTAATAGCAACCATTCAACAGCAAAAAGATTGAAAATGTCAAAGGTGGCTGCCCAAAGACGATCAGTGGCGAAAGGAAAGGGTTCAAAAGCGACAGCAGCAAGAACCATCAGCATTTCTCCCATGGAAGCGACTGCGAATGCGATCGTAACTCCTGTATCGAAGACACCAGCGGAGCGAGGAAAGGCAAAATCATCAAAGTCTAATGCGCGCCGTACTTTGTTCCCAGCTAGTGCACCAGCTGATTCTTCGGCCGTTTTGGTGTCCCCTCAACCAAAGAAGGGAACCATTGGTGGTGAGGATGATGACACTGAGTTTGCCATAATGCAACGAAAGAGGAAATCGACAATCACTGCACGACCTCCGGCAAAGCGAAGACTCATTTTTGGAAAACTCGTCAGTATACCAGAGCCCTTGCCCAACGTCCGACAAGTGTACAAGATTGTGAACAAGCTCACGGGAAGCCTTGGTGGAAATGGCTATAGTGGACCCATATATGGTGAATTGACAATGGGATCTATGCAAAAGATGATCGATCTCATGATGGAGCACACGCATTTGAATGAGCACAGCCGTTTCATTGATGTCGGATCTGGTATTGGCAAACCTAATCTTCATGTGTCGCAATATCCAGGTGTCGAGTTCTCATGCGGTGTTGAAATGGAACATACTCGATGGAGCTTGGGAATGACATGTCTCAAAGCCATCTTGGATGAAGCCCAAACGCAACAGCAACAAAACATAACAGCTGACAAGTCCATTCGAGGGGGGAACTGCATGTTTTTGCACCATAACATCTTGGAAGCCAAAACTTTTGATCCATTCACCCATGTTTACATGTTTAGTATCGGTACGTCAATTTTCAGACAGTTTGTCTCGTCGGTGTTGTTTTGTAAGACGGCACTCACTCTCCTTTCATGCCACTCTTTCCGTCCTCCTGCTTTCACTCACCATAGGATTTCCTCCGCCTCTTTGGACAAGACTTTCTGAAATGTGGAATAAGAGCGGTCGCTCGGCATCACCAGCAGAGCCGGAAGGTACCCAAAATTGCGAATACTTGATTTGCTATCACGGTCCCAAAGCGATCATTGAAGATTACGAATTTGATGTTGAACTGATGGCACAAATGCCTACTTCCATGCATGGTTCGAAAGAGGGTCACATGGGATACATCTACAAACGAATGACCAAATCCTCTGCAGGCAAGGGGAAGAACTCGAAAGACAGTGGCGAGAAACAAAAGGCTTCGTCGAGAAGGGCAATCAAATGCGACCCACTCTTTCAACATTCGTTTCACCTGGTCCAACAAGGACTGAATCCTTTGCACGAACATGTTTCCCAACAGTTGGAAGAGACTTTAGGCGGTGGGCGAAGAACTCGACGATCTACAAAGCGGGTCTTAACTCGGGCATCAGGTTATGAATGAGAAAAACTATTCTGGTTGCAGATCAAGAACGTGGGATGCTAATATAGTCTCAGGAGGAGAACAGCCATTCGCCTGAAAGAAAGAAAACGACTCATAAACAAAATAAAATTGGAAGATTGACAAACCAGACATTGTCGATCAAGTTATGACAAGCTGTAGTATAACACAATTTTAACATATAATCGATTGGGGCAAATTGGAAAATGAGGAGGGCATGGAAGTACAGTACCGGTAGGTGTGTTGCGAGACTATAATATCCAAGAACCAAAAGAAGTGTACTATCTCCGGGTTTCTTGGTCGTGTAAAAAAGACGAAATACAGTAGATATACCGTTTCCTCATCTATCGGTATGATGAATGATACCCATGAATCTCTCGTGAATTGTTCACCAACTTTTGATATAGTATTCTCAAAACAATGTTGGCACCTCACATCATCATTGATGAGGAAGATTTCCGATCCTTGTGCCAAAGAGTCGCCTCTAATGACGAGACCTCGGATATTGTGTCCTTGACGACAAGTTCCAGATCGGACAACGAAGGGGCACGACAAATAGGATTTGTGATGATGGATCAAGATGTCAGGGACTTGGCACAGGCGTTGGCACAGAATACTGCTGTGACTGAACTCTATATCAACATCACAAGAATTTCAGTCCGGGGGGCAATAGCGCTGATGCCATACATCATATCCAGCAAGACATTGGGTATTTTGGGTCTTCAGGGAAAGTTGAAACCAGATTGGAACTTTGACATTGAAGATGACGACGATGAAGATGACGACTTCGAGTTGGAAAATCGTCAAGTGGTGGCAATCGAGGTTCTGATACGAGCAGCTGTGCAGAACAGATTTGGGCTGACTCTCGAACTACAGAGTTGTCCTGTGGCACGGTCCAGCCTAAGAGTATGTTTTCAGCCGAATAGCTATTTGTGCGAATTATCCGTTGGAGCTGGCAACTGCCAAATGATTGAAGATGATGAGGACCTTCTAGCTGATGGATTAGTTTATAGTACCAAGCTCCAAGAAGTTACCATTGTCCAAAATGATGGGGACAAAGGACTGTCCAACTTTCTCTTTCAGTGTTGTGTCCATTTGCCATGTCTCGAGAAAATCTACATTGGAGGAAATTGTAGTGTTCCAGCTGCTTTATCGCAGGTTCATACTTTACAAGATGTTTCCTATATGAACGAGTCTGCCGATGAGAATCCCGACGCAATAAGCTCTCTTACCTGTTTTATTGAGAACGCTGACAGTCTGAATCGGTTATTTTTACAGTTGGTCGACCTAGCTGAGGACCAAATAGAGGGCTTGAGGCTTGCATCTGAACACAACCGTAGTTTGACCCACATTTGGCAGAGCCCAAGGTTTTGCAAGAAGCTTTCTGATTACAGCCGGCGGAATGCTGCTTTCTTGACAAAATGGCAAGATTTGAGAACGGAAATCGAAGACACTCTTTTTCCTTTTGCAGCCGAGGTTGCAACCAAGTCAAATATCGGTCGCTCTTCCCTTTACCTTCGTCTTCCACAGATTCTAAGTAGGGAATAACAAGAGCCAAAAATATTATGATGCTATGAAAAGTAGACTTTTGAAATATATTTAGTTCTATGTTTTACTTCTAATCGTACAACAACAAAGAAAAGGCGTTTGGGTGCTTTCCTCTGTGGCGCTCCGAATAGCAAAATTATTCCACTTGATTGATTTGCACAAGTCCGTTCAGCTGTTCCTCCTGCTCGTTGATTCGGACAGCCTCATTATGAGCCTGTTGAAGGGATCGTCGGTGCTGGGCATTGAGAGAATCAGCGAATCGAGTACGCAAGCTGATATCGTTCGATAGTGTTGTCTGAAGCCGATTGAGAGTTCCTGATGCACTCTGTTGGAGTACTTGATCTGTGCGGTAGTTTGCAAGACACCACTCCAGCATCTGGTAACAGTTTGGAGTCCACAGAAGCGTTTCATGATAACCGGGCGTCAAAGATAGATTGTGCAGAACCAAGCAAGCTCGATTCAGAATCGCTTCACTGGAACACAAATTTGTCATTGCGCGCACAACAAGGACTCCAATCTTTCCAACAAGTCCATCGATGATTTCTTTCTCGTTGGTTTTGTTGTTGGTCTCGCCAAGCTGGTCTTGCATTGGGTCTGAGTTGGTTCGGTTCAAGCTTATGGCTGAAGGGATAACAGTAAAATATGGTGTGAAAGTGAGTTCACAGGATCTGCGGAAGACAAAAGTAACCCAACAGACAATACTTACAGGGAATGACGAGATTGATCAGCGCAAAGAGTGCTCGGAACTGAACTTCGGCGTTGAATGGATGACGCGACATTGCGTTCAAAGTAACCTGGATTCCACCAAGCTTCACCAGTACTGCTTTCTGAGCTGGAGCAAGCGCAATGTTCACCAAGGCCCAGCAGCTCATGGCTTGCAATATTTCATTGTCTTCAAATCGACGCATCGAGTCGAGCATCACTGCAATTCCATTCTTTCGGTGCTGTGACGTTTGACTGCCAAAAATGCCAGATGCAAGCATCGAGCTATGGAAGAGCATTCCTTCTTTACCACCAAGAGGTCGCGCCAATAGCACAATGGTGTGGAATGCAGCAATATGAAGCTGTTCACTCTTGTCAAAGAGAATCATCGCACGGAGGATGACATCCGTGAGACCAGTTCGCTGTGCGGTCATTCGTTGCTTCTCGTCTTCGAGCAAGAACGGCAGGACCTTCAAGCAGAGAATTTGAATACCTTCGACATCCAGGAAAGCAACCATCCAGTTCACAATAGAATATATTGCGCAGGACCACGGGAGAGCTAGATTTCCAACATCTCCAGCTTTAGAGGGTCCAAGCAGGCGATCGGTGATCATGGATCTTCCGGCGAGCTTGGGTTTCTTTCTCTGAATTTGATCTTCGGGATAGGATCCTGCTGCTGATCTCTGTGAAGATGTAACGTAGTTAGCAAAAAAAAATTCGAAAAGCGGAACACTACGCGAAACGATTCTTACCTTGTCCGGTGTTGTGCGACCAGCGGATACTTTGGCAACTCCAACAACACCTTCCGACTTGGCTTCTTCCACTGCACCCCTGGCCCGAGCCAAAAAGAGCTGAAGATTCCGATTGGATCCCAAGAGTAACGGTGGTCCACGTTTGCTGTTCCTGCCCCGTTGTGCAATCCCGCCGTAGTCAATGAAGGTTGGTTCTCTTCCGTTCAATGCATCTTCTCGAATTTGAGATAGATACTTCATACATCTCACAAAGGATGTGTAGAGAAGTCGGTAACGGTCCAGCGAGACAAAGGAATTCTCGTTTGTGTCGCTATCTGTGTAGTCCTCCATTTTTGCCTTGAACGGTTCCGCCAGACACAAGGTTCTCCATAGTTCTGGCTGAAGAGTAACTGTCTCACGCCAATCTTTGGAGAGTGGCATTGATAGAACATCCATGATATCTGGAGGGTTCAAGAAGGTGAATACCTGAGCCATCACATCCGATCCCAAACTCAGGATTGGAGGTCGTCGATCGAGTTTGGACTCGGAATCAATGACAGCCACGTCGGGCCTCGGCCACTCGGCGGGTGTCTTGCGACTCCACGTCCCGACATCCGCAGCCTTTCGTTTCTTTGTCGTGGCCTTGATAAATTTCACTTGATCTTCTTCCACTGCCCGCTTGGCATGCAAGTATGTGACTTCCAAGTCATCCAAGTCGTCCCTTTCGTTTGACAAAGAAAGAGACGGGGATGCAGACTGCACTGATTCATCAAAATCATTGATGGACAGTTCCACAGCATTGTCCTCATTGAGCATGGATGCACCCGAACTAAAGTCGGCAATCTCGGAGCTTGAGGAAGACGAATAGTTCTCAATGCTCTCAGATCTCTTGGGGGGCTTGAGGCCTTTGCGAGAGCGGTGTCGCCTCGACATGGAGCGGAATTGGGACTCTTCAGTCGAAGATACCGATGGCGAAGACGAACATGAGGATTCTTGCTGCCCAGAGTTTGATGAAGCAGATCCTGCATACCCTCCTTCTGTTCCACTTCCAGAAGAACTTCCTTCACCACCTTCAGTAATGGAGCCTTCAGAGTCGGGTGATGGTGATGGATCTCGGAATCGAATGGCGGCTGTATCGCGTCTTTGGGAACCGGTTTTTTTACTTGTGAGCTTCAGCTTTGCAGCCTTGCTACTTGATCCTGGAGACTTGGTTCGGCTCGCGATTGTTCCTTCCAGTGATGAAGAGGAATCGGTTGCTGAGGTTTGAGGTCCATGTCTTGCTTCTCCATGTCTGCTGGGAAGCTTGTTAAACCTCTTGCGCATCGGGTGGTATCCAGACTCACGGTGTGACTTCAAGAGATTCTCTTTGAAAGGATCTACTTCTCCACCGCTGCCAGATGATGATACATTGGTGGTAGTGTCGGAATTTGGAGGAAGCAAGCGAGAGGCTACCACCGCTGATGGTCCTCTCAGAATTTTGCTAGGGGATCCATCGTCTCGGGGCAATTGGAGGGTCGAACTATCATTCTCGAGCACTCGGCGTCTCGCTTGATGTCGAAGGTGATGTAATCTCATAACGTCGCTGCAACTTTCGTCTTGTGGCATGGATATGGCACCCATTCCGTTTCCCCAAGAGGAATCTGGGTCATCTCCTCCGGAGGACGTATTTGTTGCAGTAGTTGTGGTGACAACATTGCCACTGTTTCCGCTTCCATCGGACATGTTCAATGGTTCTCGTTGTTGATGTTTTTTCTGTTCAGAGGTGAGCGATGCTTGCGCCTTTCCCGAATCTTCTCCGTATGAGCCTTTCGATCGTGCTATCAGTGAAGTAGACTGGGTGGTAGTCATCATTGCCAACTTTGTCTCTTGCCCGTTTCTACCTCCTGGATCCCGAGCCTGTTGGTAAGTCGTAGAGCCATGCACTCTTCCAGAAGCCGCGTGGTGATTCGTGCGTGACCCCAATGATAAAGATGGAAGTAGACCGGTCATTTGATGCCCTTTCACACCGTAGTGCAACGCCATGTTTGCTTCGTCCTCGTGCTGTGCACTCTCTGGTGCTATGCGTAGATTCGAAGGCGGTGACGATAAGGATGACTCCAGACTACTGCTGCTAGATGAGCCCTGAAACGCCCGATTCCCATTGGAAGAATCTATTTCGATGCTTTCCGCTGGATTTGGTGTTTCTACTCTTCGCTGTATTTGCTGCATTGATGATGCCTCTGTCTCGGCTGTGTTCAAGCTCACTTGTTGTTGTTGTTGCATGTTGTTTGTTATTGATGTTGATGCTTTGTTCATGTTTTTTTTGTTTACACAAGATTGTTTTGACAGCAGCAGATTCTGAAACAGAAGGTCCCAGGTTTGCTTGGTGCTATGTTTGTGTGGTTTGGCCGAAGCAGCTGTCGAAATGATGGACCATCTGTTGGAAGTCGTATGGTGGGATCCATAAATAACTAGTCAAATCCACACGTGTGGTATTTTAATCGTTTAACGATTTTCCGTCAGTTTCGGGCAGCTGCTATTCAAAGTCGTTCGTTTGTGGGAATCAAAGGTTGCAGAAGGTCGTTCACTTTTAATTGTATTAAACGTAAGTTCAATTTTAATCGAGCCAGCCGGAATCCAGTTTGAGACGAAGACAACATTTCATCGTTTGCCATCTGGAAAAACAAGTTGGTCCAACAAAGAGGAGGAGCTCCTGCTCACAGATGTTCATGTCAGTTGTCAAGTTCTCCAATAGACCTACTTTGTCACAGAGACATTGAAAACTAAAAGTTGGATATGCGGAAGGTTGGACGAAGAACGAAGGACGATATAGCCAGGTATCCTACTGGAAGAAGCAGGTCGTGGTACTCGTACTAATAATATAAAATAAACAAGCGTTCTACTTCATAATCCATATTACCATGTAAAGTGATCAGCGAGCAAACATCGGCCATAGCAGCAAGAGCTTGTTTTTAAAAGTTTCTATCTCCTCGCTTTTAAAAAGTGGGAGAATGCTGGACTATCTAGCTAAGCGTACTTCTTTCATAAGATTAGTGGCAGCCATGCAATATCACCAGCAAACACCATCAGCAAAAAATAGTTCCAGCAGCATGGGCCGGCTTGTTGGGCTATTAGATCTTCCAGAATGATAAGATGATGCCTTGTTGGCTTCAACAAGATGGCTAGAGGATGATACCTGGCTAGCGCGCTGTGAGTGGTGTGCAGCATGTTCATGGGAGAGGCTCATTTGCATGACGCATTGGGCGGGCTCATGGTGACGAGATTCTGAATAACCGATCATCATGGGATATGTTTCGGTATCGATACGAAGTGATACTTGCCTTTACAATCCTAGTGGCGGAACGTCATCGCAGATGGTGTCCAAAGGCCAACATACTAAATGGACTGCCAGCAGAGTTTTCACATGATGTTGTTGTACCATCTTTGAAAGGAAATCTCTTCACTAGATTCGCCTTTGAGGTTGGCGTTAGGTTAACCCCAACCTTAACTTGAACGGTCAACAGCGATCTTGATGTTGTATTTGACGGTCAGACAATGATGACAATAGGCGATGACACTACAAGCGACTGTTGACCACCACCAGTGTTGTATCTAGATACAAATGCTTGCTCCGATCCGATTGGTTTCCAGCATACATGTGATCTCATACAAATAACAGAAATGCCATAATCATTGTAGAATTCAATGTGAACCTTTAGATGTTGTTGCAATGTCTATTTATTGAGTGCCGAGTCCCAGTTTGTCCATTCTAAGGAAGAGCCGTCGTTGTCTTCTTGACGGCACGGATCTCATGCAAGACAGAATGCCGACTCGTTTTCGTGGAAGTTCTGGTTTGTTTCTTTTGTTTCAGAGCAGCACGCACAGCCTTGACGTTCTTCATGGGAGCTGATGTTTGAAGTGTTTGTGCTGCTTTCGTTGTCTCAACATTGGCTGGATAGAAGCCATAGCAGTCGCGGTTGATCTTGGGAGTGACTTTGCGGACACGGTTCTTTTCAACAGGGTAAAAAGCAAAGGAGTGGTTCTCAGCTGGACCAGTAGGGCTGTGTATCCTTGCCACCTGTTGTGGAGCCTTCTTGGAGGCTGCCTGTGTGTTGGCTTGAAACATGGAAGTGGGAACAATTTGATCATATCGGGTCTTGCGGACGGGGTAGAAAGCAAAGGAATCAGTGGTGATGGTTCGTGTAGCTTGTTGTATTCTGGCAGCTTGCTGTGGAGCCTTCTTGGTGATGGATTGTGCTGCGATGTTGAGCATGATAAAGATTTGATGGGTGGTTTTGCGATAGGGCTTCTGGTTTCTTGAAATAATGTGACGACGAGGAGATTTGGTGGATGAGTTGATCGGATTTTTCCACGAAAATCCTCCGAAGCCAGACTTTGATTGGACTTTTCTACGTGTCACTTGACCACTTTCGACATTTCCGTGTGGGACTTTTTTTGGCATCATGCAAGTTGAAAGTGCAGATTTGGGTCCCCTGAGCAGTCGGCTAAGTCATAATACTCAGACTCACAAAATGCAAGGTTGGGATAGACATTAATACCGGTTCACCTATACCTGGATGCATTTCACTGCCCAGAAGGCAAACTATAGAGCGAAGGAGCTATGCAGCAAACAAATGTAAAAAATAAACGCTAGAAAGAGCTTTGTTTCTCCATAGAGTACTCACTTTTGTCTACTTCTTTCGCTTTTGCATCACTGAACGAGCGCTGACACTAGAACTACGGTAGAAGTTGCGGCTTCAAGGTAGCTTACTTGATTTGGTATATTTCCATTCCTATGAATCAATAGTAATTCCTACCGTACGGGTCAATAGTAACTCCTATGAATCAATCAATGTTGCATGTTTGTCAATTGGTTTGGCAATCTTTTGTCCAGCGCATTCTTAGATTTGTCTGTGCGTTCGTGTTTTTTGGGAGACGGTCGAATGAATCATTAGCACTAGAGCAGTACCAATGCCAGTACTCGGCCGTTGCAAAGCGCACTTACGTGCTCTTGTACGGCTTTTTTGTTACCTAATTGGCGAAGCGAGGTCTGATTTTTGCATTTTCATTTGGGAGCACAATTATGGTCGAGAGCTATAGTTTTCGCACTATAGTTAAATCAATAGCTGAGGTGTCAAACTTCTTCGGAGTCGCTCCAAAATGTGAGAACCTGGTACATTTTACGACTCCGTGTCGCAAAAAACACGAACTCAAGGCCTAACTTTTTGTCGTATCTTCACGACCTCTCCCATAAAAAGCCGAAAACAAGCTTCACGAATATCTTTCAACAATTCATACCAATATGTTCATCACCGCCGTCGCCCAATCCATCACCAAGAAGTCTCCACAACAAGCCGCCAGAATACAACAGGCTACACGCACCATCACCACGGATTCCTTTGCTTTCTACCCCGTGCGCAAGACCCGATATGATCAAATTGTTCCCACTTCCATGTTCCAAGCCAACACACAGGCAGCCATCAAGAAGGCTCCACAACAGGTGGCAAGGATACATAGCCCTGCTGGCCAAAGTGCTCCAGCTGAGAGCCACTCCTTTGCTTTCCACCCTGTTCAGAAGAACCGTGTCCGCACCGTGACTCCAAAGACGAATCGCGTCTGCTATGGTTTCTACCCCGCCAATGTCGAGAAGACACAAAGTTTCAAGTCATCAGCTTCCATCAAGGACGTCAAGGCTATGCGTGCTGCTTTGAAACAAAAGAAGCAGACAAAGAAGGTTGTCAAGCAAAACTGGGATTTGGTTATGCAAGAGATGCGTGCCGTCAAGAAGACAATCAATGTTCTTCCTTAAAAAATTTTGAAAACACTGTACTGCGCAGCAATAAAATTCTATTAGAATGTTTTATTACACTCTAAACTGCGGTTCTATAGTCACTACAGCATGATTTTGCTGAGCAAGAAGAAGGTGCGAATGTTTCCTTTCGGGGATTTCATTTTGAAGCAATCAATCTTTGATCAGCAAAGGCAGGAGTCAGTATCGACAGAAGCTGCAGCTCTATTCTATCTGGTCACATATGCGCAGCGAGCCGATTTGCTTGCTACGATTGTTCAAAGCGTTGTATATTTTTCAATCAAGCTACAGTAGTATGACATCACGGGGCCTTCTCGATCAATTTTTGATGTACCTGAATTCTCCTGAATATTTTTTTAAAAAGGAAAAAACTCGTTTTTTGAATGTCTGGGCACTCTGCAGCAAGATTCATTCGTTATGGATCTCATCTCTTGTCTTCCACTCACCTTGGTCCCATTGCCAAGCACTCCTCCCATGCCATGTCCATGCTGGATGATTCGACATCTGATATCGACAAGCAACGATCCTTCACTGACACTTTTTCCTTCAGATAAGAAAACGTTTCATGTCTGTCCGTCCCACCATCATGATACGAAGTCGTTTCTATCATTGCTTTCGTCACGAACAAGAGCAAAACAGCAAAACTTCTGGTTTCTGGTCCTGAAGATGTTCATGAAACTGCAGATGGATGAATCAATCGTTAACAGCTGATTCATTCTGCTAATCATACAGCTGAATTACCATCCAACGTTCTGATCGGAATGTCTTCCAACGAGAGTGCACAGGAGGAGGATGCAATCTCCACCTCTCCCTTTCTTCATTACACATCTGGGACCATCGTTCCACCTTGCGTTACTCACATTCGAGTAGACGAAACAGTGGAAGTACTAGAAGAAAATGCATTCAAGGAATTACTGGATCTACTTGCTGTCGAACTTCCCCATGCACTGCGGTGCATTGGAAAGATGGCCTTTTATTGTTGCGTCAATCTGAAAACTGTGAATTTTCCGCCACAATTGATTGAGATTCCAGAGGATGCCTTTCAGTCTTGTCGGAATCTAGAAGACGTTGTCTTGCCTGCTAAACTAGAGATCATTGGAGCTAGGGCCTTTTTCGAATGCGAGTCCATTACGGAACTCAACTGCCCAGAAACGCTGAAAGTGATTGGCAAGGGAGCCTTTGTTCATTGTCGATCCTTGGTCTCGATGAATCTTCCTGATTCTTTAGAAGCTCTTGGCGATAGAACCTTTGTGGACTGCGAATCGCTAAAGACCATAAACGTTCCTTCTGGAATTAACAAGATTCAACGGGGAACTTTCGCACATTGTCACAGTTTGGCACATGTGGAAATGTCGGAAGGACTGGAGGTGGTTGGTGAGGGCGCCTTTTGGTTCTGCATTTCACTGACGCGTGTGAGGATCCCGACTACCGTCAATGTGATTGAAACGTCAGCTTTTCTGTACTGCACGAGTTTGGAGTCCGTAGAAGTATCCTATGGTATTTACTATGTGGGACCCATGGCGTTTCAAATGTGCGAGAACTTGGTGAATATTGCTCTCCCGCCGTCCTTGAACGATGTATCGAAGACTGCGTTTGACGGGTGTGAAAAGTTGATGGATTTAGTGTCCTCAGATTCTGAGAAACTCTTTTCCAAACTGCGGGAACGGTTTGATGGACTCTCTCTTCACAGGCTATGCTACGACCACCAAAACCCATTTATTGTTTCCGATGCGATTGATCAAGACAATGGCTTTGCTGAAAGTGAGAATACCAAGACTGTGGATACTTTGGGTATGCTTCCATACCATATATTGTCGTTGTCCACGAAACTCGATTTAGGGCTATTCAAGAAACTTTTGATGAAAGACCAATGCTCGAACAAATTGGCTTTGGTGAGCGAAACCGATAAGTTCGGCAAATGTCCAATGGATTATCTTTGTGGCAGCAATGAAGCAAATGCAATCCATGTGGTTCGAGATATCCTAGCGTTGGTGACAGCGGATCGCATTGGAATCTTGGGTTTGGAACGATGGAAGATGGAAGTCAACCAAGGTATTGAACACATTGTCTACGGCGACGTTCCTTCAGCAAGGCGAAAACGAATCTATCAAGTTTACCGCAATTTACTATCCAATGAAAGGCTAGAAGCTACTTCCTTATTGGAACTGGTTGTTTGGAAGGCCGAGATCGAGTCACTAACGTTGCAATCAGCACCACTGAATGGTGAGGAACGAAGAGCTTGTCGAATCAAGAGTGGAGTCGGAATAGTGATACCGAACGTTATGGCCTTTATCAGTGATGCCATTGATGAGTTGTCCTTTAAATCCGAAGACTACGACTAAGTTCAGTACCAAAGATTGTTGCCATGTGACATCGTGGGATCACTGTTACCACCCATCGATGAGTTGTCCTTTAAATCCAAAGACTACGACTAATTTCAGTACCACAGGTTGTCTGGCACCTTGGAATGTTTGTTAGCTATAGAGTATTTCATGATCACGGTAATTTCTGAGCTGAACGCGGTCGCATTTACACCGGAGATATATATATACACCGGATGTACTGGTAGGTACCAGGTACCGTATGATATTGAGAGCTACAGTTGCACCTCCTAGTCTTGAAAGCCAAAAATCTGCAGTTTTTTTATTGTGAAGGATTTGTTGGAAATTGCGAACTATTTCTGTCCGATGGCGAAGGGCATTGCTCATAGGTTTGTGCAGTAAGTTTGGCTACGTGGTCTACGAAAGTGACAACTTTTTGGTCAGAATGACGCAAAAACGTAGATAAAGAAAGTGCGACCCAGTTGACGTACACGATATATAAAAAAATAGCGAACAGTTTTTCCGCGTTTCGAGGTGCCTCCGTGAGATAAAATAAACAACAAAGTCATCTGTTCAGAAAATCAAATCGATTAGGAAATGGAGCAAAACAAAAGCAACATTGATGCTGTTTACGAAAATAAAATCTTTACACAAAAGGTTTGTGAGGAAAACCAGGCACCAATGACTTTATCCAACCAACCCCTCCACGTTATCAAATTTTCCATCGAGCCCAGTGAGGATGGCGGTGGTCCACTTGATGCTGATAGCGCTCATGATCAACAATATTCGAATTCAGTGGCAACGCCTGGAATACTAACCAGCTACACCGATTCCGAGAATGATGGAACGCCATCATCTCCAACCTCTTGCGCGTCGATGGAAAAGGAACTTTTAAACTTCGACACGAAACAAGCTCCTGTCGACTATCCAAGGCTCGACCATAACAACATGCAAGGTCTTGAGTTGGATCTGGGAGATTCACAAACAAAGTGTACATACTCAGTAGAATCTCCCATTTTTCGACTACCATCAGACATCATGGCTGAAATCCTCGTATTCTTGGAGCCATCGGAAGTCTTGGAGGTAGTCTCATCACCACTCTGCAAGAAGTGGTTGCAATCGTACGCACATGATCATGACTTGTGGAAAGTGCTCTGTACGTTGAAACCATTCAAAGTGGACCATGGCAGCTGCCAAGCGCCTACGAATGAAGGCTTGCTATATTCCTTTATCCAGGTAGAAGGCGATCTAAGTTTCAAAGTATCTCGTCACCGGCTAGTGTACATATCTTTTGTCCGGTGCGTAAATTATTTGAGATCTTTGAAGCAGGGAAATCGCAACACTACATCTATGAAACCAAGCGACAGAGGCATTGGAAACGCACTAGGAGTTGCAACTCGAGAAGTCCCATATGGGATTATCAATCGTAGAAGACTAGGCAATGAAATTCCTCCGCGATCCAAAATGGAGACCAAAGTTGAAAGAAATCCACAAGGATCGAAGGTACGTTGATTTTGTGAAGGAAAAAACGAGAGCCACATAGGCCTGACCTGTCTGTGGTAACTCACTAGGTTTCGTATTTCTCTTATAGCTTTATGATTCCGAAACAATGCCCCCACCTAGCAAGAGGCCTCGCTATGGAAAATCTATGATTACTTCTAGACTCTTGGGGCCATCCTCCGTAGGCGCACCATCTCATTTGACTCTTCCACGATCTTGTGCTATATTCTCTGTGGTCAACTGGATGGTGGCTCACGCTCATGTAGAAGGCATTCAGGTAGGTTTTGCTAAAACTGTTCAAGACCAGTCCACCGGGACTCGTACAATAGTCTCATCTCACATTACTTTTCACTTGCTTTTCTCTAGACCCTGTGCCTCGAAGCCTTGCCACAACTATTGGAAGATGAAGAGCATCGCACAACTGCACAACGAGCTGACCTTTCCAATGTTGTCTTTCGCACCATGATGGCATATCCAGGCTCGGTCAACCTTCACTCGGCGGCTTTCCATACGTTAGTGCTTCTGGGGAGACCACTTGGTGGCCAAGAAGGCATGATTATCGACCTGATGGATCGACCAGTCCTACATGGTCTCAGTGCAGGTACTGCTGCCTTTTTGGATCTGGAGGCATCCGGAGGAAATCGATCAGAACGAAGAATTCCCATGGTGCTTGATAGCATGCGCCGTTTCGAGCAAGATGAAAGGCTCCAGACGAGAGCCTGTTGGGCCTTGGTGAACCTTGCTCTGGTTCCGTCTCAAAAGAGTGTCATTATCCACAACGGTGGGATAGAAGCAACACTACGAGCCATGCAACAACACCCGAAAAGTCATGGAGTCCAGTTTCGTGCCTTGTTTGCACTTATCAATCTCGCCGTTCCTTGTACAAATTCAAATAATTCGACCCCAGCTGACCCTGTGCAAAACAGGATTCTAGATACCTGCGTGGAGAAAATAGTCAAGCTGGCGGTCTCGGCGGTGATGAACTTTCCATCCAGCTCTTCCATTCGAAACAAGGCTTGTCTGGTGTTGCACAACCTATCCCTCTCTAGTGATTACATGATGACGCTGTTATGGACACGACACTGCTACAACCTGTTATCTTTTTCCGCCAACAATGACGCTGATGACCAAGTATTGCAACGAAGTTCCATTGGTGCTGTCCAAAGAATGCATGACTTTATGTCTCATCGAGAAGGCCTCGAAACCGAATTTTCGAGTTGGATTGCTACCGAACCAGATGTACCCTGTCTTGTGAGCTGAATCTGATAGAATTATTATATCAGACCACATGCCTAGCCAAAAGTCACACACCGAAAGATCAAAATCTCGAAAAATGTTTGCATGTCAACCTGCCTGTACAGATAAAAGCAGCGACAGCAATCCACTCACACAAACCTCGGAGAAATCGTCTCCTGGCAGCTTTGAAAACTACTAAACTCTTAAGTTTTCGTGTTGCTGCCCTTGCTTGCTTTGATATCCATTTCAGTAGCTCCTTGCTTTCTTGCTACGTAGTTGCTTCCTTCTTTGCTGTTGCGGTCGTGGCTGCCTTGGGCGCTGCCTTGGTACTAGTGGGTTTGGCGGCTGCCTTGGTGGTTGTGGCTGCCTTGGTTGTGGCTGCTCCTGCTCCTGCTCCTGCTGCTGGTGGCGGCGGCATTGGACTGTTGCTTCGAGATGTTGTTGGCTTGGGACTATTACTGCGAGATGAAGGTTTGGGACTATTGCTTCGGGATGTTGGTGCCTTGTTCTTTTTGTTGGCAGCAGCAGTAGCAACAGCAGCGGTTGCTGGTTTTGCTGCTGTAGCTGTAGCTGCTGTAGCTGTAGCTGGAGGGGGTGCCTTTTGATCCAATGCGGCCTGTGCCACCTTGGCCACGGCGGTTGCAGTTTCTACCGCACTGACAATGTAATTGTCCACCATGGCTTCAAATTCTCGAGCCACTACACCGTAATCAGATTCTCGGCCATTGTACTTGATGCAATTGTGACAAATCAGCCCAATCCGTTGGTGCAAGTCCGAATAGGAGACGATCATGCGGGCGACAATCATTTTTCGAACCAAACTAAGGTCCATGGGAAATAGAATTCGATCGGTATATCCCGGAGCTTCTTTGGGATTTACGGGGCGACGAAAGACAATGGCAGCTCGGTGGGTTGAAATTTTCTTCAAGACTGCCATTAAATGAGTCGGAGTGGGATGTTCCTTGCTGTATTCTGGGTTGTCCTGCAAGGCGAGCAGTTCTTTTTGTTTCTCCAAAGCAGATGATTTGTTGACGTCAGATGCATTGGAAGCACCACTAGCAGTGCCCGCCTCTGTCTTCTTTTTCTTCTTGGGTGGCTGATACAAAAGTCCCACCTTTTCTCGATGTGCCGGAATGGTCGAGTTTGGTGGGAGTGGCATGGCCAAATCGTCTCGCAATCTTCCCAAAAGCGCCGATACCGTAAAGTTTGTATCTGCTGGTGTGATTTCCGACTCCAATGCTTCATCGCAAAATTTTTTGAGTTCCGGATTGTCCTTGTAATTGGCCGGATCCAACCCTTGTTTCAGCTGATCAATTTCTTTGTCCAAAGCTTCTTCCACAATCTTGGCTTCTTCTATCATCAATCGAAGTTCTCGTTTTGGAAGTCCTTTGGTCAAGCGACGCAGTGATGGCATGATTAATGCGTCCACATTTGGATCCAAACCTTCTTCCTTGTCATCATCGTCGTCGTCGTCGGCGGCGGTGGTGGTAGACGTGACGGGATTGGCCGCCGCAACACTGGCAGCACTTTTGCTGGGTGGCTTCTTGTCCTCTTTGGTTGCTGCAGTTTCTGATTTGGCTTTGGCGTTTGCATCTTTCTTTGTTTTTGATGATGGTGATGGTGATGATGATGATGATGGAGGTGGAGCCTTCAACGTAGGCATGCTAGGGCAGCAATGAGAATGGCAATCTCTAGAGGCGGTAGTTGCTCGTTAGAGGTTAGCCGTGCCAATGAATGAATGAATGAATGAATGACTGAATCACTTCGCGCCGCAAATTTTGGAAAAAGGTGTAACATGCAGGCGATGACGGCGGACGGACTATTTTGGAAGGCACTGATATAGTCTTCTATCTTTCAACTCGCATCGCAGAACAATAAAATAATATTGTAGATTATATTGTAGAACATCCAACACTCAACACTCAACGCTGCTAACCCTCAACACTGCTAACACTGTATGCCATGAATTTTGAAAAGTATCCTTGGCTTGTAGATCTTTCTTCACCTGAAGCAGTAGCTGCCATTGAGAAAGCCCAACAATCCTTCCAACAAACGGGAGCCGCCATCTTTCCCAACTTTCTGAGTGGACTCGCATTACAGGAGTGCATTCAAGATGCACGGGCCCAAGAATCGACTGCCTTTACTACCGACGATGTCCATACAGCCTATTTGCGACCCATCAACGAAAATACCGATCCATTATCGGTGGAGAATTTGGAAATGAGGACCCAAGTTGCCTCGATTGCCTACGACGAATTGCCTCCCAATTCGATTCTGGGAAGTGTTTACGAACATCCTCTATTAAGAAAGCTGGTATCCAAAATTGTTGGAAAAGATACAATTTACTTGTCGGATGACTCACTTGGCTGTTGTTCCATCAATGTCTTTCGAGCCGGATATCATCATTCGTTTCATTTTGACGAATCCGAGTTTTCGGTACGTGTTCATTTTCAGCCACCATTTGTATTTTAAAAAAAGTGTTATGCTTGCTCGGTTGTATGGCCGCAATGGTCGTTCCATCATGGTTTGTTGGATATCTGATATCTGACCAGCGTTGATTTATCATATCTGCTCCCACACACAAAAAACAGACGACACTCATGCTCCAAGAATCCGAGATTCCAGGCACTGGACTGTTTCAATACACGAAACCATTGCGAGACAGTCCTGATGACCTTGCACTTACATCAGTGGCAAACGCAATCCATGCATATGCTAATGATGCAGTGACTACAAAGAGTCGTCTACTACTAGAAGCTTCGTCAGCAAAAGAACAAACCATCAGTGACAACAACAACAACAATGATGATGATGATGACGACAAGTCAAATTCATCGTCGTTTGCGCCATCCTTGCACACGCTAGACTTTGCACCTGGAACCTTGTCCATATTTGCTGGATCCAAATCCTTACACCGTGTCACACGAGTAAAAGGGAAAAGGTCAAGACTGGTGGCCGTCTTTACCTTTGCGTCACAACCTGGTTTCCAAAATACATCCACCATTCAAAACATGTTTTGGGGTCGATCCTCCTCAAGAACGAGGCCACGACGAGGGGGGCAGAAAGAAGCAGAGGAGAAACAGCAGAAATAACCAATACATAATATATAGATTAGTGCTTTATGGTAGAATCGAGTTTTGACATTCGAATGTGCCTGGTACCGGTACCTATACGATACCGTACCTCTTCCTGATGATGTACAGTACTACTATGTACTATACTCCCTACATCTCCCCCTTTCGAAACAGTGTGGGGGATCACCGGCCAGCCCACACATACCTCTGACATCATACGTCTGTCCAGCAGTATGTGCACGCTTCGATTTTTTTCAAAACATCGGAACGCGTGTTGGATGACGTTTTTTTGGAAGCCGGAAGAGATAGGTACTGTATCATACAGCATTGACTGATTGATTGATTGATGGCTTCAAACATCAACGATAGAGCCGTCATCGTCGTGTCTTTGTGTTGCAACAAACGATCATTTGACATTGAATAAAAACAATTGATTCTACCACAAACAATACCTTTGTTATTATTTATTACAAAAAGAAATAAACTAAAAATGCTCCGCCGAAACAGCATCGCCGTTATTTCGACTATCATCATTGCATTGATGTGCAGTTCTTCCTCAACAACAGATGCCTTCTCCTTGGGTATTCCGTCGGCTGCCTCAGAACGATCAGCTTTCACTTCTTCTTCTTCTTCTTCATCATCATCTTGGAGCACGCAATCTACAAATTCCCAGAGATTGGCAGCAGGGCAGCGAATATGCCAGTCCGCAAGATCAACATCATCATCCAGCACACTCAAGATGAAAGCCAGCAATGCTCCACCACCCTACCCTGTTCGAATCGCAGTAATGGGTGGAGGAAACTTTGGTTTGGCCATGGCCAGTATCTGCGCCAGACAGGGACATCCAACAACCATTCTCGTCCGCAGCGAGTCCGTGGCAAATGAAATCAACACCAATCACACCCATCCAACCTACATGAAAGGAATTACTCTTCCTACCAAAGTGCGGGCAACCATCAAACCAGAAGAGTGTCTGACGGATGCTACCTACATTGTCCATGCGGTACCTTGTCAATATTCACGCAGGTTCCTGGAAGGTGTCAAGGAACATATCCCTGCAGGGACTCCTATTCTTTCCGTCAGCAAGGGAATTGAAACTTCCAGTCTGGGATTCATGACGGATGTCTTGATGGATTGCTTGGGAGAAGATCGACCACTTGCCTTTTTGTCGGGACCCTCCTTTGCTCGTGAAATCATTGAAGGCGTTGCCACCGCTGTGGTGATTGCTTCGGATGATTTGGATCTGGCCCGTGACTTGGCCAATTTGTTGTCGGATGACAATTTCAAATGCTTTACCTCGCAAGATGTGGTCGGAGTGGAAATTGGTGGTGCCGTCAAAAACGTCATTGCGTTGGGGGCTGGAATGTGCGAAGGTCTGGGGTTGGGAACCAACGCCATGAGTGGATTGGTCACACGTGGTTGCAACGAAATGAGACGACTGGGTGTTACCTTTGGAGCACGTCCCAGTACCATTGCGGGTCTTTCAGGTAAGCATAATATTACTATACGTGCATGCTGAATTGTCTGGTTGGTTGGTTGGTTGGTTGGTTGGTGGCGAAAAGATGAGAACCAAGGAAAGAAGCAAAACGAGAATTGATTTTGAAAATCGTGATTTTCAAAATGTTCTTGGAATGTTTCTAACTACTTCTGAACATGTGTACCTTTCAACTGTAGGAGTGGGAGATACATTTGGTACTTGTTTTGGACCACTATCAAGGAATCGAAAGTTTGGTTATCGACTAGGCAAGGGAGAGACTATGGCTGAAATTCTCGAGTCAACGACAGAAGTCGCAGAAGGTGTTGACACGGCACTTGCCGTCGTCAATCTGATCAACACCAAATGCAAGGGGTATCGATTGGACCTCAAGTATCCTATTCTATTTGGTATTGCCCAAATTCTAGAGGGAAAGATAACGCCACTGGAAGGATTGGAAGGCTTGATGAATATGCCCATGCAGATGGAGAATTTTGATGAGACCAGGAAAACAGGAAGAATACGAGAACGATAGGTCGTAACATGTTTGAAACATAATGAAATTTGTGTGTGTGAGTATAATATTTATTACTAGCTTACTTGGAAGCTTGGGAGCTAAGCATTTCCAACTAGATCGAAGCTGTAAAGATCTGCAGATTGCGATTTTTTCAATTATGGTGAATATATAGCTGTTCCATCCCATGAACAATTCTTGCCAAGCACCACAGCATCTTTTGCCATGTCAAATGATGTCAATAATCACATCGAATTTTCACGTTTCCATGTATATGCCCTTTTTAGTTCATACTAGTAGCTACCATAATTATACGGTACAGGAGGCCACTTTGGTGGATCATAACCCCTTCCACCGAACGGACTGCACCGTAGGAGTCGCCATGCCGTCAAAACACAGCCCTTGGTTGGTCCGAATTCCTCTATCGCTTGCACACCATCTAAATTGGGGGAAGACGATTGAGAACAATACAATTACTATAAAAAAGAGATATTATACAAATACACGCATACAAACGAGTCACGTACATTGAGAGCACGTTGGTAAGAACCGACAGGCAGGTGGTAGAAGCGGACTGATGTAGTTCTTGTAGATGCCAATCGTCCCAACCATAGCCGCCGTCATGGGGAGCTTGGAATCATTATCCTCCTCCTCATTGCAGTTTGAATCTTCATCCGTTGTTGGACGACTTTCTTCATCCTCGGCACTTCGAAAAAGAGGAATTGATGGATATCCTTGGAAAACTCGTTGCGACAGGATTACTCCAGCGCCCAAGACCATCATAGGTTTGGCAGCTGGATGTTTCTCCATCGACCGTGTCATTCCCTTCAGGGCAGCCACCAGAATACCTCCATTGCTCTTCAAGATGGATCGCGAGAAGAGTTCTTTGGAAAACAATGCTCTGGAAATCATGTAATTATGAAGCTGTGATTGATGTTTTTTGACTGAATGATGCAGTGGCGCAGCCAGGCATACTTGGCACCCATCAACGTATGTGTTTGTTGATATTACCAACAATAATATAGAAAGCGAAAATATTGCAGATAACTTCATTGCATTAGACCCAAAAGAGGTGCTTCGTTGCCCATACGCGGTAGATTGCATGGTACAGTAATACCTCCTGTTGATGGAGATGAGTAGTGACGTCAGCTCTTATAAGGTCATGCTAGTCAAACCTGGACATTTGTAGCACGAGCGCGAGCACAATATCATCTACATGCATATTTTATCATGGTTCTCCTCCAAGGAAGCGCATGGTACAAGTAGCAAGGCATATATAATCAGCAACGAGAGCGGTATACGAACGCCCGGCAACTCAATAATCCACAGTGTCGGAGAAACTTGAAGGAAGCAAGTTTTTCCCGCTAATACCAAGCGGCGAATCCCCCGTTCAGAAGCATCTTGCGGGAACCTTCCAGTTTCTCAATTAACGAAAAACGCTTGTGAGCCATTTTCTCGTTTTTTGCATAGATTTCGGACTAGCTTTTATCCGCACAAAAAGAGAAACGACAATTTTGTACATCCCCATTTCGCCGAAGGCGCTACCAATCAGTGTAATCGTTAAATGAGCCTTGAATTCCACCGCCTCCTCGCATATTTGTCGCTGCAAAAGAATCACTAAACGCTCGCCAGCTGGCATCAGTTTCCAAGGTTGATCGGGAAACTTTTCCTTGAAGTCTCACAATTTTAGAAATCTTCTCCTTGAAACATCCACAGAAAAAAAAATGTGCAACACCAACAACAAAGCTGTTTCTTTCTCTTCCTCCCTCGACATGCGCAATCAAAGTACAAGGGGTTCGCTCCGAACGTGCGTGAAAGAGAGGCCATCCATCGATGAGAATAGCAAGCAACTCATTGAAAGCGCTTTGGAGGCTGTCCTTGATGAGCAAATCGATCAATGGGCCACAGGGGAGTCCGATCCCGAGCGTATGGCAACCGTGTACCGCCAACATACTGCCTCCAGTCAGGTCAAGGCCATTGTCCATGGCTTGAAGTTGCAACGAGAAGCTGAAGCTGCTTTGTGTACCAATGAATAAAACTGTGATCACACGAACACTTACAGCAACTACAGCAGCATTTTGGGTTGGAACCTACAACGAAATTCTCAAACTCCAATTTCCACGGTCCTTCCAAACGGTACGACGAAGTCAAGTCGGATGCGCAAGCCAAGGCTTGCATACCAATCAAAGGAAGTTTTCAAAATTCTCCTGTTTTCCAAGTGAAACACGATGACTCATTGATTCATTCGTTGCGACAAAAAAGAAGGCAATATGCATGGCAGCGACGAAGAAGCTACCGCGAAAGCGTATGCTCATTTTTGCATCTAATAGAAATGAAATTTTACCCTGAAATCAGTTTTTAATCAGTGGCTTAGGTGCGATGGAAATGGTCAAATAATAAATTCAAATATCCTTCGACTGCTACAGTGATCTATCTAAGATAGCCTACTGCCGTCCTCCGTGTGTGTGTTCGTAGTATTTTGCCTTGGTGTGTAGCTGGTGTGAAGCGGGTCGAACTGATCGAGTAATAGACTCGATTCGTTCGACCAATCTCAGAAATCCTGTGTGCGGTATTACTAGTGATAAAAACGCTGACAGGTACAAGATACAGTACAGTACACACGTACAGTCGATGTAGAGCAGTAACAGAACAACTGCCCTTCGGAATTTCTGAGTCGAATGAGTCACGAACCGACAACATGACATCCTCGTACATACAAAAGAAACAAGCTTGGTGAGATCGACAAGAAATAGACACAAAATCCAGAAGTTAGATGAAGCAAAACGGATCCGCACATGTTAGAGATTGATTACCTGTGCCTTCATGGAGGGGCGCAACCGAAGGATTCGAAAAATGTTAGAGGCGGTTGGAAACCATGTTCTCGTCTCGTGCGCACGATATATATCATACTGTAGGTTTCGGACTGCTGCTGTCCACGAAACGCCATTTTACACATTTGTCGCAGCTAAATATATAAAATCATCGAACTTGCTACTGCAAGTTTATGAGTTGACAGGAAAATTTCCGCTGGAAAAAGCCATCAATTTCCCTTGTTGCGGTAAACAACCGATCATCAAGCGCACGCCTGCAGGCATCAGTTTCCAGGGTCGATCGGGAAAATTTCCCTTGAGACTCTCAATTTTATAAATCTCTTTCCTTGAGTCTCACAATTTTATAAATCTCTTCCATTGAAACCTCCATTGAAAGTACTATGTGCAACACCAACAACAAAGCTGTTTCTTTCTCGTCCGCCCACGACTTGAGCAACCAAACTGCAAGGGATTCGCTCCGAACGTGGGCGCAAGAGAGGCCATCCATCGACGAGAACAGCAAGCAACTCATTGAAAGCGCTTTGGAGGCTGTCCTTGACGAGCAAGTCGATCAATGGGCCGCCGGGGAGTCCGATCCCGAGCGTATGGCAACCGTTTATCGCCGAAAATCTGCCTCCAGTCAGGTCAAGGCCATTGTCCATGGCTTGAAGTTGCAACAAGAAGCTGAAACTTCTATGTGTACCAATGAATAAAGCTGTGATCCCACGAACACATCCAACGACACTCCAATTTCAAAGTTCCTTCCGAACGGTGCAACGAAACCAAGTCGAAAGCTACTGTACCTGCTAGCGGCGTTGCATATCGATGAATGAAAGTTTTCAAAACCTCCCATTTTCAAGTGAGACTTGACGATTGATTATTTGACTCATTCATTCGTTCTGACAAAGAAATAAGCAATGTATTAATACATCATGGCACTGAAAAAGAGGGATGCGTATAAACGTCTGCTCATTTCTGCATCTTATAGACATTATAATTTTACCCTGATATCATTTTACATCTCAATTGTCGTCGGTAGGTACCGTGGTACTCGTAGATCGTAGATATAGTACCACTAGACTCTTCAGTGAATGATAAATACAGTATCAAGTTTTAATCGATCACTGACGAGTAACAGCTACCTGGTACCGGTACTGTAGTCAACGGCATTAATTCAGAACAATCTTGGTCGAACGAGTCAGTCCGTTGGAGGAGGACTTTGTACATCTCACATGCTGTTCATGTGTGGTCACTTTCAAGTTGGCGATCATTTTAATTCATCATATATATTGGCCCAGAATCAACACGCAGGAAGCCTTCGTATTGGACAAGAAACACAGGGAACAGGCACAAAATCCTGAGCACAAATGAATGCATGGGAACCTCCTTTATCAATCGCCATCGCCATATCCAGCCTCCAGCTACCAAGAGGAGAATGATCTCCCGTTCAGAAACACCTTCCGCCCGGCCGGCAATGTTGCAGGTTGCAGAGTGTCAGTTGCGACCCATTTTCTTGTATTCAATAATTGCTTTTGTCCACCCAAAAACAGAAACCACAAAATTTCGCCGAAGATTTCTGACATCACGCCGTAGGTAGTCGTTAAAATAGTTTTTTCTAATTTTTAAAAAAAATAAGCGTTGAATTCCACTGCCATCAATTTTGTCGCGGCAAGACAATCATCGATCGAACTCCAACGGAAACCTTTTACGGAAGGCTTTCTGTGAATGAATCTTGAAAAATGGAAGGTCCAGGTGATTGGACCAAGCTATCGAATGTGAGGAGATGGAAATTATGGGGACATTCTTTCTAGGGCAGAAGAGGGCGACGATGGCTTCTGAAGCTGGCACTAAAAGAAACTTAGTTTGATCAGCACAAAAATCTCCTAAGGGCGGATGGGATGCAGGTATGCGAGCCATTGCAGATGCTCGGGGTCTCAGAGTCAGTCCGTAGTACCAAGCTATCGAATGTCCCAATATCGCAAGCTAGTGAGACGATTTCAGAAAGACAGATGACACACTGCATTGTTGGTCAAGCATTCGACTTGGTTCGGTCATACTTTGCAGCATTCTACCTTACCATTCAGTAGCATCATTGCTTGGAGCTGAGCGATTTCCTACCTGTACCAGGCAGGTATCTTTTGTTTTACGAAAGTCTAATAGAGTAGTTAAAAAACAAATCGCAAAATAAACACTTCGTTTGATTTTATTGAATAGTTTGACTGACCCTAAATGCCTGAAATATGGCGAAATTGGATATAATGGAACACTTTCGGGCGTGCTCTACTCTCCTTAAATACCCCATTTCATCGTTTTTTGAGCGAATTTGGGGCTACCGGTAGCTTTTGTCAGCACTACCGGGTACAGTACCTTGTAAAAACGAGAACCGTCCTCCCTATTTCGCCGACGGCGCTACCACAGAGTGCAGTCGTTAAATGAGCCTTGAAACCCCACCGCCTTCTCGCACTTTTGTCGCGGCAAAACAATCCTTTGGCGGTCACAGTTCCCACACTACTTGTGGGTTGGATGGAATCTTTTTCGCTGGAAAGTCTCACAATTTCACAATATCACTTCCACTGGAAAGTCTCACAATTTTTGAACATCACTTCCATCACATTTCCGCAAAAACACCATGTGCAACAACAACAGCAGCAACAACAACAACAAAGCTGTTTCTTTCTCTTCCTCCCTCGACATGAGCACCCAACCTACTAGAAGGGATTCGTTTCGAACGTTCGCGCAAGACGAGAGGCCATCCATCGATGAGAACAGCAAGCATCTCATCGAGAGCGCTTTGGAGGCTGTCCTTGACGAGCAAATCGATCAATGGGCCGCCGGGGAGTCCGATCCCGAGCGTATGGCAACCGTGTACCGCCGGAAATCTGCCTCCAGTCAGGTCAAGGCCATTGTCCATGGCTTGCAGTTACAACAAGAAGCTGAAGCTGTTTTGTGTACCAATGAATAAAGCTGTGATCATACGAACACTTACTACAGCCAGCATTTGGGTCGGAACCTCCAAAAAAGTTGACAACCTACAATTTCAAAGTTTCTCCCAAATGGTACAACGAAATGAAATCGAAAGCTACCGGTTCCAGGTACGCGACCTCGCATGATACCGATGAATGAAAGTTTTCAAATCCTCCTGTTTCCAAGTGAAACTCGAGGACTGGAAGATTTTGCATCTAAATAGACTTTACAATTTTACCCTGAAATCATGTTACATCTCAATTGTAGTCGGTTGTTACCGTGCCCTTGTACCAGTACTCGTAGGTACGTGGTACTGGACTCTTCAGCGAAATCCTCCAACTTGAGTGATCAAAATCACGGATAGGTAAACTCACGGCATTACTCCATTTAAAATCGGTAGACGAGCGAGTCCGTCGGAGGAGGAGTCACATGTCATGTCTACACCCTGGCGAACATTCATACAGTATTGACCCACCGTCAACACACCCGACAAGCTTCGAAATGGACAAGGAACAGAAACAAAATCATCTGTACAGTAGAATTATGTCGTTCATGGGATCCATCAACATTGATTGCAACGCAAGTGGTACACGTACACGTGTACACGTACCAAGCTGAGAATGAATCTCCGTTCAGAAGGAAGCTTCCAGTGTCTTGTTTCGGACTAGCTTTTAACGGAAACCGCAAAATTGATACTGTACATTTCGCCGAATATTTCTACCAGACACCGAAGCGTGTTATTTTTAATAAAAAATAATAGTCGTTAAATATAAGCTTTGAAATCCGCCTCCTTTTGTCGCAATTTTGTCGCGGCAAAACAATCGATCATCGATAAGTGCACAAAGTTCCCGCTTTTTAATAAAAATGTTCCGATGGAAAGTCTATTTAATACCTCTATCGGTGGAAAATTTCCATTGAGTAGTCTCAAAATTTTACAAATCTCTTCATAAAATCTCGCCCATTCACATTTCCACTGAAAATACCATGTGCAACAACAGCAACAACAACAAAGCTGTTTCTTTCTCTTGCTCCCTCGACTTGAGCACCCAAACTGCAAGGGATTCGTTTCGAACGTGCGCGCAAGAGAGGCCATCCACCGACGAGAACAGCAAGCAACTCATTGAAAGCGCTTTGGAGGCTGTCCTAGACGAGCAAGTCGATCAATGGGCCGCCGGGGAGTCCGATCCCGAGCGTATGGCAACCGTGTACCGCCGGAAATCTGCCTCCAGTCAGGTCAAGGCCATTGTCCATGGCTTGAAGTTGCAACAAGAAGCTGAAGCTTCTATGTTTACCGGTGAATAAAGCTGTGATCACACGAACACATCCATCGACATTTTGGGTCGGAACCTCCAACGAAATTCACAAGCTCCGATGTCAACGTTCCTCCCGAAAGGTGCAACGAAATCAAGTCGAAAGCTACCTACACGCAAGCGTATCGATCAATGATTTTTTCAAAAACCTTCTGTTTCCAAGTGAGACTCGATGATTGATTGATTCATTCGTTGGTTCCGACAAAGGAAGAGGCCACAGACATGACAACGAATAGGAAGAGGACGAGGCTATCATAGTAATATGTGTTTGCTCGTTTTACATATTTAATAGACATCACAATTATAACCGGAATTCTTTTTCCGTCTCAGTTGCAGTAGGTACTAGACTCTTCAGTGAAGGATTCAATCAAAAGCACTTTTAAAAGCTTAACAGCTGTTCAACCTATACTCTTGGTTCAACCATCTCTTGGTTCGGCCACCGGCAGATTTTCTTAGTCGAACGAGTCACTTGGTCGAACGAGTCACGCAGGCGAAGCTTGAACAACCAAATAATGTCAACCACCAAAACCAACGACCATCAACCTAAACTGTACGACAAGGTTTGTACCGGTATCATCGACAAGAAACAGCGACAAGAAACAGACGCAAAAACAAATATTCAGCGCAAGCGGTCGCTATAGAATCGAACAATGTCGTTCATTGCACGAGTTTTCATCTGCTTCTCAGCGGTGGTTGCCTATGCTTCTGGCTTTACCTTATCCACATCCTTGTCGGTCTCGTCCATACGACACCATGCAGCCCCATTGAATGCTGAAGCAGCTCATGAACCAATTCGATTGAATAAGGTATTCAAAAAAACTCACTCGAGACGGCAAGCTGATCAACTGATTGCCGATGGGCGAATCACTGTCAATGGCGAACCGAGTCATTCGGCGGGACAAAGGGTAGTACCCTTTGAAGATGTCGTTTGTTTGGATGGAAACGTTGTCGAAGGGTGGGAAGCAATGAACCACTTGCAAGTCCCCCAGAACGGGGAAAGAGGTCCGAAGGAAACTAGCCAGAACGGTGAACGGAAACGAGAGGATGCGGGAGGTGCGCTTGATGCTTTTGAATACATCAAATACTGGAAGCCGCTAGGAGTGACATGTACCACGGACCGAAGGATTGACAACAATCTAATCGATGCGCTCGGGGATGATGGATATCATCCCAAGACTCGCGTCTTTCCTGTTGGCCGCCTTGATAAAGAAACATCTGGGCTTTTGCTAATGACATCTGACGGCCGGTTGCCAAATTCCGCCTTGAGAGGAAGGTTCAAACAACCCAAGACATATTTGGTACGGACCAATCGACCAGTGGAACCAGACGACGTCCAACAACTACGAGAAGGCGTGATCATTACGACTCTAGCCCAACGGGATGGGAATCGAGCCAAGCCATTGACTGCACCGACATTGCCATGTCCAGTCAGACAAAACAAAAGGGATCCACATGTATTGGAGATCACCCTGGTGGAAGGGAGGAACCGACAGATTCGAAAAATGATGGAGGCGGTTGGATACCATGTATTTGCTCTTCATCGAAAAGGCTTTTTGCAAATGAATCTTGACAACTTGGAAGGCCCAGGTGATTGGGCCAAGCTGTCGAACGACGAGATGAAAATTATTGAGGAAGTCCTTGCTGCAGCAGAAGAGGACGACGGTGACTTTTGAAGTTGATACGCAAAGATATTTAGTCAGAGAAGCACAAGTAATCCAAGTGAGATGTAAACATTTGAGCCATTGCAGATGATAAGGTTCTCAGAGTCAGTCTGTGTTGACTGAAATATCGCTCCGACCGTTCAAACGAGTGAGAAGATTATAAAATGGCAGACAAACTACATTGCTGGACGATCATTCGACTTTGTTTGTTCTTATAAGCTGATATTGTTGAAATCTACCATGGCATTATCGTTTGGAAATTGGTGATTTTCTAACCGTATCCGTCGTCTGTACGGAAGAGTAATAATGAAGAATAGTTATTAATACACAAGTACGGGTTAATTAAATCTATAGGCACACAGACACGGGTTCGTCTGAGTAATATAATATATTTCATCATGCTATCAATTTAAAATTAACTATCAATGGAAATAGTCACTATACTGGTTGCTTCGTTCAAACTTGGACGACCTATGCTTGTCGTATTTGTGAACATTCGACAGCTGACCATCAAACGGACAAACATAGGATGCCAACGAGTACCATTTTTCAAAGGTGGCATAGTATTGTGGATCTGCATGTGGTTGACTACGATGAATGTTGGCCATGTTGCGTTCTACCATGGGTTTGTTGGGTGTAAAGTGCAAGACCAGACTTTCTTGAAAGAGCTCCTGTCGCGACTTGGCATGGACCGGATTGGATTGAGACGGTAGCGTCGAGCCTGGCGGGCCCTGTAGAATTCGTTGGTACCATTTCCGAGTACCATCATCTACTGTCGCATCTACTGCCACGGTAGACGTAGAATTGTGATTGTTGTCCCAAATGGCGGTCAACATTCCATAGGTTCCAGGCAATAGCGTAACTTCCGATCGAAATTCGAGATTCAAGAGGTCCATATCATACATAATGGGCGCAGCAGAGTTGCTGGTCTGCTTTTTATTCTCATAGTATTTTCTGATGCGATTCCACAGTTGGATGGAAGGTTGAAAGACCATGAAACAAGAACAGAATCGTTGTGGATCCGTATTCTTGCGATTGGTCACCTTGGCAGCCGCCAATTCGAGATTGTTCTCTTGAAAGAGATGGTCCAAATTTTGACGGACCATCATATCCGTGTCCATATATACCACACGATCATATTCATAAAGTTCATCAAAGACTCGCAGTTTGACCATGACATTGGTGTAGTATGTATTGTGTGCTGTTTGATCCTTTGGACGACGACCACTCCGTTTGTCATTGCCTGCAGCAGTGACTCCAAGAATAGGTAGATGTTCTACTCTCTTGATAATGACATTCATCTTGGAAGCTTGTTCGGCAATACCGGGATTGTTTGAGGCTTCGCCGTAAGTTCTGTTACAGGGAGTGCAATCATGGATCAGTCGAGGTGTCGTCAATACGTTTTGAAAGATGATGAGGATTTTATACCAACCGGAAACCAATGGAGTTTTTAGTATTTTGATACTTACAATAGTACGAAATCAATGCTGGCAGGTGTTCCTAGATCTCTCAACTGAGCCACTTGCACAAAGGCACCGCAGGCATAAGCGGAGGTTGTGGCATAAAAGGCATAGGCATACCGTCTCGTCTCCTTCTTTGGCGTATTACCTCGACTGCTTCCTTTTCTTCCTTCTTCCACAATCGATTCGGATGTCGACAAACCAACTAGATCAATCACCTTCCAATTGTCTTCAGAGGATTCCAACCAAATGACGTTCAGTTGTATCCCACCAATAACGACGATTGAAGCGAGCACTAGTAGTACTAACAAAAGGAGCCAAAGACGACATCTGGTCCGACGACGCTGACGAGACCGCAGGATTTTCGACTGAGTCATCATCACTACTCATTCATTCATACTTCATCTTTCTTGCCACAAATCTGTTTTTTCAATGCCTCTCATATCATATTATCATCCCGAGTTAAACATTCAATATCGTTGTTGTTGTTTTGTAGGTACATCTATTGAAAAAAGTCTGACTTTGGACCACTTCGATTTCAAATTCGGACGCAAACAGACTCACAAAATCTGACACCCAGTTTTGTCTTTTGGCGGGAAACAGCATTGCTTTTGATTTCACACTCTATATACTTTTACTGCTCCTATAAAAGAAAAGCACAAGCACAAGCAGCATGGCCCTTCATCTCTCCAAGCGCCTAGCAGGCCGAAACCTCACCAGCCTCTCGGCTAAGCAGATTGTGGCATCCACCAGCACTCACAATGTCCTTCTTCATGGCCTTCTACGAGAACATCAGTCAGATGTCACTGTTAGCAGGACCATGATGGCCACAAGAAGTTTCACATTCCATTCTCATCAGTTTCCGTCACTGCAAGCTGTCGTCAATAAGCGATTCTTCTCCTCTCCTGGTGGTGGGGGTGGTGGTGGTTATCAAGCAAGTCCTTCGTATCAAATTTATGGGGAAGAGGTTGCCTTTACATTGAAATGCATCATGCCAAGCTTTCGATTGGTAGGAAACCGAACGGTGGTCGTGGACAAGACCAACAAAGGTCGTCTCTTATTGGAATTCACTCCCCGACAAGCCCAAGACACCAATAGATTTGCCTGGGACCAATCCATCAAATTCGCTCTCCTCGCCGAAGAAGTAGGCACTTTGGTGGCCTGCTTGTCTCATGGACAACCCGTCGAATTGGCCCGGCAAACTGCCGCCCTAGGAGGGCAACAACAACAACAACAACAACAAGGTCAATATGGATTTCATGGGGAAACTCCCGGTGTGGGATCCCTTCAAAAGATATTGAGGGCCATGCCAGACAATGGAGGTGCCGCTACCTTTTCGATTGATTACGAACTGGATGGCCGAGGCAGTCAAGATCCACCCAATCCTAACGAAGTGGTAGGTTCCTATCATGACGATCATTGCATTATCTCTTTCTTGCTATATTTCTCACCCTTTTTCTATCTTACTATGTATTGGATTGGATTGGATTGCAGCACGGACCCTTGCAGATTCGTCTCATGGCAGGAGAGTTTCAGGTTCTCAAGTCCATAATGGAGCACTCGATTCCAAGACTAGTGGGCGTAAGTACTATGGTATACTGTATACTATTACTCTTATTGGATCCTACTCACTATTCCACTATTCATATTTTTTCCGATTCGTTTCAAAAGTGGGCGCAAATGATGGATCGTTCCGCTGAAGATTTAGTATCAGCAGCAGGGAATAACAGCATGCCTTCACAGTAGATCTGGAGGGGGCAATGGAGGACAAAATTTCTCTGTGCCATTCTAATTGCCCATTTTAAAAAATAGATAGGCTCACTTTTTTAATGCTTTTGTAGGGTAAAAGTGAATGGTTTCACTTTTTGCTTTAACCTTCACTGTGCTGGAAAGGAAGAAAGGAAACAGGTAAGTACTGTAGGGGGTAGGGATTTAAAGGTCGAACGAGTCGATTCGGAATGTCGTTGAATTTTGGACGAAACCTCATCGTTTCAACCTCATCGTCATCAATCATCGTCATTGCAACCCGCCCAGACCTGAACCAAAACCACCTTTGACTACCTACCTACCACCACCTCGTCCTTGCATTAATTAGCCACCCCCCAAATTGACCCGAATGGCTCCAAAACAAATTTTCTTTCGAAAGCTGGATGCGACGGAAAATGGATCTTCCAGCTTTTTGAGTGCTCTGCAACTCATTGCCCACATTGTCACTCCCATTCGAAAAGGCATGATTCATTTTTTTCTACAGAATCGCAATACTTCCATGGATCAGATTGAATGGATATTTCTAAGAGAATTAGGTTGGTTGTTTCAAGCAATGATCGCGGCGCCACCTGATTCCGGCAAGAAGGAGGCTAATGATGATGAGGACGAGGAAGACAATTCACCACCTGTCGATCCCACTGCGTTTTTTGACGCTCTAAAGCCCTGTTTGACCAAATATAAGAAGAAAACTACACCAAAAGATGCGTCACAAGCAGTACAAATATTACTAGAAACAATACAAGCTTGCACGAGCACACTTCCAGTAACTGGTGAATTATGGAATTCCATGTTGGATGAGGCATGTAAGTAGTTCATTCTAATTTGTATGCATCCAGCAAGTTGACAACAAAGCATCCGCAGGATGACTCACTTCTTTCTCGTTCGCTTCATTTTAATGCAGCACTCCGTTTCGTGGCAAGACAAACAATCGTCGGCAAAACAGAACTGGAAGATGGCGAAGTCTTACAACGGACGAAAAAGGAATCATTGATTCTGGCGTGTCCCTATGTCATTCCAAAGTCTGCTGGAGCAAAAGTTGAAGAGTCTACCAGTGTCGACAAACTTTTGAAAGAATGGTGTGCCAAACAACCCCACGAATACGACTTTGATGACAAATCGTTTGATTTTGAAGTGACCATTCCCGTCTTTTCGAAAGGAGATGCCTCTAGTGATGGTTGGTCCGTTAACAGGACCCTACACTTTGACGCATTGAATGGATTCTTGTTTGTGGGACTTTCACGCTTGAACGATCAAGGGGAACCTTCCGAAACCGAAATTGAGTTTCCCAAAAAGCTGGACTTGTCCAAATTGTGCACATCGGACGTGACCGGCAGCAAAGAATTCGAGCTGTATGGTGGAGTCTTGTACGATGACGGAGATTATGTGGCTGCATTAAAGAATTCAGCGATCAAAGATCCCGAAGAAGAAGGCGCCTGGCAATTGATGGAGTCGGATGAAATCATTCCCATGGAAGAGGGCGATATTTTGGAATTTCTAAAAGGAGAAGGTGGGGAAGGCCCCTGTGGGACACTTGCTGTATATCGGTCGTGCAACAAGTCGATACACAAGCAAATGGATAATATCTTGTCAGATATTATCATTTCACATGTCAGCGGAGTATTGAATACCAAATCCGAACAATATTACTACGAAGAAGTAGTGGAAGACTAGCTAGCTTGTCGTCGTGTTCAGTTTTTTTGTGGATGGTGAAGGGTGGCGATGAAGAACCTGAGCCCTACACTTTATTAATACCAATCTATCAATTAATTTGTTTTATTGATTACCAGTTGTTGCCAATTGTTAGAAAGAATAGTTACTAATCCAAAATAGGACTAGACGAAAAACGGCATCGACAAACCAAAGCATCATTTTTTTGAAAGCCAAGTCAAGGTCCAATCGCATACTATGTATACATTTCAATTCTATTCTAATATTTACACGATTTTTGTTTATATCGAACTCATCTTGGTTCGGTCTTTGTTCGTTGTGCCAGTCGCGCACCCATGGCTTTGTTTGCTCGTTGTTGTTGTTGTCGTCAACACCAAAACTATTTTCCCTGTCTTCCCCACTCTCCACACTACCGCCTCAATGCATTAGTTACTTAGTATCTACTGACCAGTCCATGGTGACTGATTGTGGCTCGGGTAGGAGGATGGAGGATATCTCAAGACCAACGAAAAATCCACTCTCGTTGTCAAGAATCTTGGAAGGATCGAACTGAAGGATGGCTGGAGAAGTACTGCCACTTGGTGAAGATGGAATCGAGTCTAGGGTGGAATAGGAAGAGTTGTTAATGATGCTGTTGGTGTTGTCCATCTTGGTTGTGGTATCCATGGTGGCTGAAGAATAGTTGAGATCGGTTGTCAAATTAGTTTTTGTAACGAGAAAGATCAATTTGAAACTTATCAATTTGACAATGAGGCAGTGGGATTCCCCCTTTTCATTTTACTTCGTCCCCGCGATATTTAACGCGATTTCCCACAACTAGTTGTGGGAACAGATTTTTGCCAAAAATTCCCACAACTAGTTGTAGGAATCTTAAAAAATAGTTCCCACAACTAGTTGTGGGAATTTCCGTTGCGCAGCTGTCCGTTTTTTTGCCTTAAATGTATCACGAAATATCACGAAAACAATTAGAGTTTTTGGGAAACATCATATGTAGTTGTCTAATTTCTAGTCAGTACATATCAAACGTTGTTTTGTGTGTAGAACGGACAGTTTTCCGTAGAACGGACAGTTTTCCCATAATTCCCAATAAAACAATTTGAGTTGTGGGAAACTTCCCACAACTACAATTAGAGTTGTGGGAAACTTCAAATTTGTCTCAGTACATATCCTACGTGATTTTCTGTGTAGAAATGACAGTTTTCCCACAACTGTTGAGGGAATTCCCACAACTAGTTGTGGGAAGCAAAATTGAGTTGTGGGAAAAATTGAGTTGTGGGAAAAATTGAGCTGTGGGAAAATCTCGCAACTAGGGGAGAAATCCGGGGATTCCCACTGCCTCAATTCCCACGCGACTGAAACGAGAACACTCTCCACGATGGAAAACCTAAGCAACTCCACGTGACGAGTTCAATCACGCTAATCAAAACGAGATTGATTTAGACGTGCCGAAACGTGGGCCAAAAGGAGACTACCGGAACTGGACCTGTTTGAAACATTGCAGTAACTTTACAAAGATATGCTAACTTTCTACATGGAAATCAAAATTGGGTATGTATCACTCGTTCAAGCTGCACATAGGCCGTTTCTGGTAGTATCAGATAACCAATTGATTGGCGCATCTGTGACACCAAAACAGCCTGAAAAGAAATAGGTACTATCGAAGAAACGAGGATTCCTCTCCGTTTTCGGAAGAATCTTCAGAAGAGTCATTTTGTATTGATCCCATTTCGTATTCTGGCTCTGGTGATGATCTTGGCCTATCGGCATCTCCTCCAAAATGTACCATTAAAAAGTTTTCGTCCACTCGCTGCCAAATCCCCTTGATCCCATGGTGCAATCGCCGACGATGCCGGTCCACCAGAGACTCTCTCCGTGACGGTGTGTGGGGCTCGTAGGTTATTCGCGTCAGGACTCGGTCACCGCTCGAAGGCGACATGCCCAGAGAAGGCGTTTGGTCTTCCTTCATTCCAAACATGGTCAACATCCTCTCTGTGAAGCCTCCGCAAACGACTATGGTGAAGATACATATACTCAGTGTGGCAGTTGAGTATACCTCCTTGTGGTTTCCTGGCATGTTTTCAGCTAGTGCAAAGGCAATGGCTCCTCGGAGTCCGGCAAACCACAAGACCACTTGCATTTGTCCCGTGATTCGATTGCGTCCCTTGCGCCAAAAGTTGGCGACGAAACTGAGCGGGACAATGTTTAGAAACCGTCCAATCAAGCAGGCAATCAACGAAAGGACAGAAAAGCCAACATCCCAATTGCTGAATCGGCCGGTGAACACACCCATTCCCATGTAAATGAAGACGACCGTCTCTGTAATGGTCGCAAAGGTGGAGAATATTTCCTCGGATGCAACATGCGCCGTTTCGGAAAGATTGTACGAGTTGTAATGGCTCAGCGTAACCCCCTGAAAGAACAGTGCCATGATTCCAGACAGTTCCACTGCTTCCGCAGTGGCATAGCAAAGGTAGCAAAAACAGAACAGTAGACTTGTTTCCAGTTTTGGAAAGAAATTCAAGTCGGTATGTTTGTAAATCCAAGATGCTACCAGTCCCAAGCCAACTCCAACCACAATGGATAAGGTAGTTACCACAAGGAAACTGAGCAAGGCACCTGGAATTTCCGATTCGCTCCAATCAGGACCATCCGGTTTGTAGTATTTGGCAAATGTTCGAAAGAGAGAAATGGCAATCGCATCGTTCAAGACGGACTCTCCAAAGACCAACGAGTACAACAAGGGATCTACATTCAAATCATCATTTCCCATGATGGAAAGGGTCGCCACTGGATCGACGGCACTAATGAGGGCTCCAAATAGCAAGGCCTCCATTGGATTTTCCTTGTCGATGCTTTGGATCATTCCGAGTTTGGCAGCGTAAAAGCACATGATTCCAACCACAAACGTCTATATCATGGCAAACGTAGTAGTATGATGAAAGGAATGGTATGGTGAGCAAGAGAGAGTAAGTAGTCACATCGCTTGTGTCTTTGAGACCATTCGATTGATCGATTGATTGATTGATTGATTCATTCATTTCGCATGACATCATGCTATTGTAGCCGCAAGAGTTGTGTATTACAGTACCTACCGATATCATGGTTCCGAACATGGCATAAAGCGTAATAGCTCCAATGTTTTCAAAGAACCCTTGCCGATCCAGAGAGTAGCCGGCTTCGAAAATGATGGGGGGTAGAAGAAAGAAAAAGAATAGCTCTGGATCCTGTATTTGTGTGCGTGTGTCATAATCAAATGAATCGGTAAAGCGGGATGAGATTAGAGAGATTTGATTCATTCAAGGTGCAAGCTGATTGCCATATACTAGAGTAGACTAGAGCCAATTCAACCCAATCATTTTTCACACAACCCAATCAACAAATATTGCACTTACAAACTTGAACAGCGTTAGCTTCTCCGTCGACAGTGTTGCAATCCCACCAATGATGATCCCAATCAACAATGCGCCCGCACTTTCCGGAAGGTAGTAAATTTGATACCTCTTGACAAAGTAGGCCAGTAACAGGCAGATTATTATCGTAATGTTCAAAACCAACGCGGATATGGCATCAAATTCGTGGGCTTCCTCCGCAAGTTCGGCTTGGACAAAGCCATCTGTATAGTTCACATAGACAGTCGGTGTGGCGGAAGGAGCCACGCTGATTTCGTCTGCCATTTTATTGTGAGGGTTGTGGTGGAGGACTCCAGTCTCTCGAGTTATATATGTTTAGATGGTGTGTATTAGATTTCTTTCAGATGAAGTGCAGAAGAGAGATGTGCAGCAGAATTCAGCAAGCTTGGATATAGAAACCAAGAGAAGGACACGAATAATAAGGTTCCAATCGCATTTTTTCTACTGGCCGCGAATTTGCTTTTTGAAAATCCTCGGGTGGTTGACTACTTCGACTCAGTCACTCCGTCATCACTATTGCAACACTGATAATACTGTACTTCTTCGCGCACCGGAATTTGGCAGTTCTTCAAACCATGGAAGCTAGTACCAACCTACCATTTGTGCAGAATGATGACAAAGGGACTCTAACCTTTGGTATTGGTGCAAACGATCCATGGCCTTCCATCTTGGAACAGCTGGAACTCTTGCGCGAATCGGATCTGGCGGAGTATCAAAATCTCGAGTTTTGCATTTGGCCCGAGGCTCCCGTGTCAGAAGTTTTTGAGTTTTTGGTAGAGACCTTTGAATGCTGTTCCAACAAAGGTTATTCATGGGGCCGGTTGGTCTTTCAAGATTACGACGTTGACGACCACACGCATCTCGCCGTATTGCAAGCGGCCTGTCGCAACAAACTCTTTCAGTATTTGTGGATCTCACCCGTGGCGGCAGGAGGATTCCGGGAAGCAGCCGAACGAATGAACGATGAAACAGCACATGCCTTGAAGGATGCCATGATTATGAATCAAGGCATGGTGGAAATATGCATGTTCATGCAATTATCGGAAGATGCCTTTTGTATTTTGGGAGATGGATTGAAACAAACAACGAGCTTGGAGACTCTATCACTTCATTTGGGGTGGAGCCGACAGCATAATGACGGATTTGTACCGCCACCTAGATTTATTCAAGGACTGAAGGAAAACCGTTCGCTAAGGACTCTGGAATTAGACGGTTTCCCGGAAGAAGTTTGGCCTGAAAATATTATAAGAGGATTGGTGGACCATCCCAGTTTGAAGACGCTCAGCTTAAAGAAGTGCTCCTGGGGAGAGTCGAGCGTTTCTGCACTTGGCGAGCTGCTATCTTCATCATCTTGTGGACTTGCCACGCTGGACCTGTCGTACCCAGATCTTGCTACCACGCAACAACTGCCAGGCAATAGCCTTGCCGAAGCCATGACGACCAATCAATCCATAGAGACGCTCAAAATGCGATATTGTGGATTGGACCATATCACATTCTCCAAGCTTTGGACTCAACTTTGTTGCTGGAAACGGCTGATGGATATTGATCTTACTGGAAATCAAGTTGAATCACTGTCGCTCGTACGATCACAGGTGGCGAGACTGCGCCGCTTGGACATTTCGCATAATCCAATTCTATCCTTGGAAGCATTAGCAGACGGCCAACAGAATACCACTGGACTTGCCAAGTTTCTGCAAGCCCACCCAGAACTACAATGTCTGGGACAACGCTTTTTGAAATCCAAATGCTACTCGTTAAAGCTACAGCATTTGTTGGATATCAATGCGTCTGGTCGAATACTCTTTTGCAATGGCATTTGGTCCGAGCACTCGCTTTGGCCCAGAGTCTTGGAACGTGCGAATGAGAAATTTGAAGAGAATCCCTATCGACAGGCCAATGTTGTATATTATCTGGTCCATGGTCTTTCGGCAAGCTTGTAGTTTCTCAAGAACGCCCCCCATTTCGTTTTGGTCGCTATTTGATACTTGTTGGTAACAAGGAGCGACCAATGGAATAATTTTGTAGCCTTGGTATTATATGGTGGATCATATTCTTTGCCGAGCATAACATTCTAAATACGACAATTCCTTTCACTGCTCCTTTTGCAGTCATCCATTCGGCAGGACACCCATTCCTGATTTATCATTCATTTCCTGCTCGATAACAAATTAT